GCGTCCAGGAATGATGTCTCTCCTTCACTCTCATCCGAGACACCTGTCTCCCTGCTAATCTCCTCTCCCTCGGCCGGCACCTGAGACAGTGCCAGAGGGGAGGGGCCTGGAGAGGGAGGCCTGGCTGACTCCTCTTCCTCATGCTCGGAGCTTTCTTCCTCTGATGGGATAGGCTCAGAGGGCGGGGCCACAACACTTAGAATACTGCATCCAGGTTTGGTCAGTAGATTATAAACAAATGTTGAGACCCTGGAAAGAGTTCAGAAAAAAAAGCAACAAAGATTATTAGGGGTCTGGAGGCCAAAACATATAAAGAATGGTTGTAAGAATTGGGTTTGTCTAGTTTAGTGAAAAGAACTAGGGATGATATAATAGCAGCGTTCCAATACTTGAGGATTTGCCACAAAGAAGAGAGGAAGGCAAGACAAGAAGCAGTGGATGGAAACTAATCAAGGAGAAAAGCAACCTAGAACTAAGGAGAAACTTCCTAACAGCAAGAATAATTAACCAGCCTCCAGAGGTTGTGGGGGCTCCATCACTGGAAGGTTTTAAGAAAAGACTGGACAGCCATTTGTCTGAAATGGTGTTGGGACTCCTGTTTGAGCAGGGAGTTGGACTAGAAGACCTGCAAGGTTCCTTCCAACCCTGTTACAAACCTCCAGTGATGGGAGCAGCCACAACCTCTGGAGGGAAGCCATTCCCAAAGAATCAACCTTAATTTGAAGGAGACTTTTTCAATCTTCCCACCAGCAAAAACTTGCAGCCACCAGTTTCACCACCTGCAGCACCAGTGGGCTTCCATTTGGGGAGGGAAGGAACCAGCAGCAGCAGCAGCTGAGAGGCTTCAGCCCAGTTGCTTCTCTGCTTCCAGGCCGTGGAGGAAACCGAACAAGCCGACTTCCTCCAGACTCTCCTCCCACTTGCCCTCAACTCACCTTCCAGCTGCTGCTTCGACCGTGGGAAGAGCACAAAAGCCGCTCTGCACTCCACTTTCCTCCCATTGAGTGATCTGGTAGAGGAAATTCCTCTCTGCTTCTCTTCTCATAGCCTTTCTAGCAATACCATATTCTATGGTTTTAACTCCTTAAACTCAACCACAGGCACCCCCTATTGTATTATGGGGGTTTCAGGCACAGATGTTGCCTAACTGATCGCCATCACCTGATATCTATCTAATGATATCTACCTAAGGCACTTGCAAGATGTTTCCACTCATTAAATGCCATCAAGTCATTTTTGATTTCTAGGTACTGACTTTTGAGCCAAGTGAAACAGTGAAATGTGATGCTATTTAGCTTACGGAGATTAGGTGCTGAGCCCTAAAAGTTGCAGGCCAGATGCTCCAGGGGAGTCAGGTTGTTAAAATATTTAAATTAATAGCTGTGAAGGGTTAGTTAGACAATGAGTAAGAATACACAGTTATAGCTAGTTGGTTGAAGAGCACTGGCTGCTGCATGAGGCAATCTAAAATGAGATTGGTTGCTGTGAGTGTAAAGGGAGAGTTTCCTTGTTTCCCGCCTTTTTTCCTCTGTATGTGTTGTCTGTAATTTACCTCATGATTTTTCCTGCTGTGCTGATTTACCTGATGATGCCCCTATCTAGTTTACTGTTTATGTACTTGTAATATATAGCTAGATTTATTTAAAACTACAAGTTTGTGTCAGCATCTATGACTCCATTTGCAACCTGGCTGTTCAATTCCCTGTCAGGTTATGGGCCCAGAAGCGCCCTGAAGAGCCAGAAGTAAACTTTTTCTGAGGTAAAAGTTTCTTTGTGAACCTCAGGGAGGTTGAGGATGATTGGCCTGTAAAGGCAGTATGTGTTACAGGAATGGGAAGAGGGTTTCTTGTAGTTCCTCTTAAAAGGAGATGAATTATCTCTCAGGGAGCATAAGAAAACTTTATAGAATGAGTCTGAAGTTGGGAGAAAGTGTGTTAGATTACCTCCAGTTTATGAGGAAAAATGTCCTCGAATTAGAAGAGCAAGGAATGGTGTTTTTAGAAGTATACAAAATGTATGTTGTGCTTAGTTCCTTTGATGATGTTTGGGACTTGTTAGTAATAAGCGTGATTTAACTACCATGTTTCCACAAAAATAAGACCCTGTCTTATTTTTTTTTTGGTGGGAGGGTGTCCAAAAGATGCATTAGGGCTAAATTTTTGGGGGAAACACGGTATCAGGGTGATCAGCCCAGTCGGGTGCCCCCGCCCACCAGAGTACATATAAGAGGCAGCACACATGGGGGCCAATGGTGTCCAGCAGCTTGATTGGCCCACTCTGGGGCTGCACAGTGCAGGAGAGTTGATTACCTGTTCAAGCAGCAGGCAGAGGTATAGGCATGGGGAGGACACAAGCTGAGAGACAAGACAGAGTGAGTGGGAACTCGTCCTCACGGCAACAACAGCAGGGAGAGGCAGAGGCACAGGGTGGGAGACACGCAATCCTGATGCTCTGCACGGCTGCCTGCTTTGTTGTGACTGCAGGAAAGCCAAGGCAGAGTGGGTGGGAGGCCACGGTCATTTAGATTCCCCTCCTCACCTCTGCAATATGATTCTGGCCATGTGAGAGCTGATTCTGGTAGTGTGCACGAGTGGTGCACTGGGAGGGAGATGTAAATGAAGCCTCTGAATTGTTTACTGAGTAGAAAATTAGGCCCAAGCCTGCCCTGCCTGAGGTTTTGCTTTCCCTCAGTAGCACGGGCACCACACAGATCCCCAAATGTGGTAGCAATGGCTTGCCCCATTGTAATGGTAGGAGAGCTCTCCTAGCACAATTTTATCTCCAGAAGACAAGGACAGAGCTGAATCTAAAGCTTCCAACCTGTAGTTCTTGATCAAAAGCCTCTGCTGCTTGCCCAGTGCCACCACCACCACCCCGCGATCGCTTCTGCATGCTGCCACTGCAACTTGCTTGGTGCCCCGCTCCCCTGGCAATTGCTTCTGTGAGGCCGAGCCAAGAGGGGGCCAGATGCTGTGATGTCAATCAGTTGCAACTGCTGCTGGGCACCGCAAGACCCCACGCACTCACCGCCTGTGTACACGCCCAGGGGGAATGCCCAGCCAGGGCCATCCACTCACTGTTCCACAGGCCTTGAGTTTGAAATGTCTGCTCTATCACTATCAATGGAAGTGGCCAAATTTGCTTTGGTAATTATTGATTTCTCAAGGTATGGTTTTTGTTATTTACTAAAAAGCAAAACAAGTGTTTCAACCATTTAAGCAGTGGGTAGCTGGATGGAGTCACTGAAGCAGTAGGCATGAGCTTAAATGGACTTGAGGATGGTAGAGAACAGGAAAGCCTGGAGGAACGTTGTCGATGGGGTCGCGATGGGTCAGGCACAACTTCGCAACTAACAACAACAAATGTATGTAGAGAGGTACAGTCAAATGATATGTCAACTACAAACAGAGGTACAGAGTTTATGTCTAATAGGTTTCAGCAGTGGTTCAGAAAGAAAGACATAACACATAGAAGAATGAAACGCTATACTCCAGAAGAGAATGTAGTTGTTGAACGTGGTAATGGTGGGTTACAGACTATGAAAGATGCATTACTAGCAGATTATGCAGGAATGATTAATCTGTATTGGGGTGAGGAAATGTTAACTCTCAATATTTGGTCAATAGCTTATGGAGTTCAGCAATTAAACTCAATACATGTTCTATGGGAGGCAACCATCTTTGACACTTTTAAGAATCTTTGGCAGCAGTGCATGGGTGCACATTCCCAAGGCAATTAGGAAGTCAAGACAGCCAAAGGCAAGGAAATTAAAATGTATAGGTTATCTATCAGACTCAAAGGCATATAGATTTACAGATGGACACAAAAAAAATATCTCATGTTCTATAAATTTTTTAGAACATGACAATTGGAAACAGGTACATGCCAATTCTGAAATTTTAATGTCTGTTATGAGTCTCCAGTGGATGAGCATTCACATAGGTACGCTGAGCAAAAATCGGGGATTAGCTCAGGGTCAGAGTATAGTTCAGAGAAATGTTTAAAAACTGAGATTTCAGTGAAACACCAAGGAGGTCTGAAAGAGCAAACAAAGGTGTTCCTCCAGAAAGTTTTTACAGCTGATGTGGTAAAGATATGTAACATTTTTATCAAAGTTACAAGAAGTATCTAGAGAAACTATTTTGGAGTAGAAATAAAGAAACTACGAGAAGGAGAGTATGTTAATGGCAGATCAGGTCGCAACTAATTTGCAATATGCTAAACATAATACTTTTTGCAATGCTAATAAACCAGGGAGATGGTTAGCATATTTGTTAAGGAAAAAACAAAAGTCACGGACCATAGAGAAAATAGAATATAAAGGTAAAGAGGTTTATCAGCAAAATATGATTAAAAAAGCATTTTTAGAATTTTATGCGAGGTTGTATGCTAGTGATAAAATTCAAAGTATAGATATAGATAGATACTTACAGAAAGAGAATATTCCTACAATTACAAAAGAGCAAAGGGAGGGTCTAAATCAACCAATAACTTCGGAGGAGATTATGTTTGCAATTAAGCAGTTGAAAGTGGGTAAAGCTCCTGGGACGGATGGTTTGAAAGCTGCTTATTATAAACACTTGCAGTCAGAAATGGTGGGACCACTCAAAGAATTATTTACCAACATACAATCGGGAGGAGTTGTACCCCCATCCTGGAGGACAGCTTATATTTCTCTGATTCCAAAGGAGGAGCAAGACCACACTCAGCCAAAAAATTATAGGCCTATATCACTTTTAAATACAGATTACAAGATTTTTGCTAAAATACTAGCAAATAGGTTAATGACAGTCATGCAACAAATGATTCATAATGATCAAACTGGTTTTATAAATGGTAGACAAATGAAGAGTAATGTAAGGCAAGTTGTTAACCTATTGGAGTATTTGGGGAAGAACAATCAAATCCCTGTGGTGCTGATATTTCTTGATGCGGAGAAAGCATTTGATCGATTGAACTGGCAATTCTTATTGAAAATAATAGAAAAGATGCAGTTTGGAGAATATTTTACACAATCTATTAATGCAATATATCAGAAACAAACAGCGCAAATAATAATTAATGGTAGTTTAACAGATACTTTTAACATAGAAAAAGGAACGAGACAAGGATGTCCTCTGTCTCCATTATTGTTTATCTTGACCTTGGAATTTCTGTTAAGTAAGATATGTGGGTCGGACAAAATAAATGGAATTAAAATTAGGCAGTATGACTACAGATTACGAGCATTCGCAGACGACTTGGTTGTTACTTTAACCCAATCATTACAGTCGGTTGTAGGTTTAATGGACATAATTAATCAATATGGACAAGTATCTGGATTTAAAATAAATGCAGGGAAAACAAAGATAACTAAAAATATGACTATAAATCAAAAAGATGAATTAGAAAGACTAACAGGATTTGAAATTGTAAAAAAAGTTAAGTATTTAGGGGTCGATATTATGACATCAAATGCGAAACTATTTAAGCATAATTATGATCCGTTGTGGCAAAAAATACAGAGAGAGATGGAAAACTGGAAAAATTACAATTATCCTTGTTAGGAAGAATAGCAGCAGTAAAAATGAATGTTTTGCCTAGGTTTTTGTTTCTTTTTCAAATGATACCAATACTTTAAAAAGATGAGAATTTGAAGATATGGCAGAAGGGTATTAATAATTTTGTCTGGGCAGGGAAGAGACAGAGAATAAAACAAAAAATAATGTAGGATATACGTGAAAGAGGAGGTCTCAAAATGCCCAACCTAAGATTATATTATGAGGCAGCTGCTCTGTCAGCAATTAGTGACTGGATGAACTTAACAGAAGAAAGAATATTGAATATTGAGGGATATGATTTGGTTTACGGTTGGCATGCTTATTTATTATATGATAAGAAAGTGGATAAGGCTTTTAAAAGTCACATATTAAGGAATGCTTTATTGCGTGTCTGGAAAAAGTATCAGTATAAATTAAACTATAAGTTACCAATGTGGGCAATACCCAGACACGCAATAGAGAATATAAGTGTAGAGCAAAACCAAGATGTGATTACTTATAAAGAGCTTCTTAATAAGGCAGCAGGTATACTACAATTAAAATCTTTGAATTGATAATTCAAACATGCTTTCAATATGTACAGTTGCAAGCTAGATGGAGAGAAGATCAGAAAATTGGTATTTTGCAGAATGAGGAGGGGGAGGAGGGATGGGAAAAAATGCTGTAATACTTGTTAAAAATTTTTAATAAAAAGAGCATGGTATGTATACAAATGGCAACAGGTGAGAGAATAAAAACCAGAAGCAAACATATTGACATAAAATATTCTAAAGTCAGAGGAGCACTAAAAGAAAATATAATATACCTAATTTATTGTCCATCAGAAGATAATTTGGCTATATTTATTTATTTAAAACTACAAGTTCGTGTCAGTGCTTCTAACTCCATTTGGACACTGGCTGCACAATTCCCTAACACAGCTTCATTCCTACTGGCCAGGGTTGCATCCAAGAGCACCCACCATGCTAGCTTCATTCTTGAAAGAGTAAATTTTGTATCTGCTAAATGCTAAATGCCATGTGCTTCTGTAAATTTGCTTGCATGGAATTCTCCATTACTTTTCTCCCTCCAGAGAGAAAAATATGCAGCAGGCCTAGAAAATGGGGACTAAGAAAGAGGGGGCGATTGTCTATATATGGTAGAAGAAATGTTTGCAGAAAACATAAAAAGAAAGAAAAAGGAAAAATAGAATACCTTATCAAAGCACATGACTGACTGATCTCTAGGCTAACCATTTTAGAGGGACATCTTGCACTGCCATTTTTAATGCAGATTTAATAAGGTATGGATGGTGAGAGTAGCCGTTTCAGCTACTGGCTCTAAGGTCTGTTGCATGGAGGAAGTTGACCTTCAAATTTTGATCCTGAGGAAATGGACTGTTTGTTTGGTTGGGAATTTATGGCTTTTGAATTTGCCCTGTAGACTATCCCCTCTGACTCTTGGGTTGGCTTTATTTATTTAATATTTTTATATACCGCTGTAAGAGATTCACAGGCTTTGGGATCATTGCAAGGATTTCTAACTCCTAATCATAATAAAATAAGACATGATGAATATATGTACTAAATTATGACCCCAAGGAAAGAGAAAAAAGAAAAATTATTAAATATAATTTTACTATTTTAAAGTTTAGAAATTTTGCACATTAAATTCAAAGTAACTTTGAGTTGAGACTCAGTCCAAGAGCCTCTTGGTTTCTCCACAAGCCTACTGACACTTTCCTTTTTTTTTCTTTTTCAAAAGCTATTCGTGATTCTTACGCAATGCTGTTTTAGAAATGAAACATCTACTGTACAATATTTTTGTCACATCTCCCCACCAAGTGGGGGGGAACCACAAAAGTATCAGTCCCTTGGTGCGCTCTCACTCACCAGCCATCAAAGGCTAACGAGGAGGCTCCTCCAAGCAAAGGAGATCACAGTAGGAGTTGCAAATAAACCTGGAGATCTTGTGCTCAAAATCACAACCCCCTTTCTTCGCAGTTCTATATTCCTATAGCTCTTCTCCATGAAGGTCACTCCGCAAGGGAGAACAGCCTTTACATCTGAAATTTTACACTGCTTTTGTCACTGCCCCAAATTCCCCCAATATATGTGCTGTTCATACTTTTTCTTCGACTTGCGTGCCACATTCTTGACAAATCTGAATAGACATGCTTGGTGCCCTGAATTCCTGGAACTGTTAAGAAAAGACTTTGAAACCCTTCTGCTTTTTCTCTCGTTTTCTCATTATATGAGGAACCACATCTGGCATTTCTATCATTTATCATGATAAAAAAGGCAAATAAAACTCCCAAAAAGATTTTTTAAAAATTACATCATTTCTGCAAAAATAACTTCTGCTGCTGATGGTCAGGTAGCCATTATCAAACTAATATGTAATAACCCATTTTTTTCCTCCTTCCTGTCTAATACCATGACATATTTGACTACAAAAAATCAGGCAAAGTCTTTTTACTCAAATTAAAGAGTCAATTTTTCAGCTGAACTTACAATGGGACATTAGAAATAAAATTCAAATCTTCTCTACACTCATCACTTTGGGTGTGGATTTTCTTGTGTGTGATAAGGGTGGAATGTTTCCTGAAACACCGTCCACACTCGGGGCACTTAAATGGTTTCTCCCCTGTGTGTATAAGCACATGATTTAAAAGGCTAGCCCTAGTACTGAAATCTTTCCCACATTCTGGACACTCATACAGTTTCTCTCCTGTGTGAGTCCTCTGGTGTCTCACCAGGCTGGAACTCTGACTGAATTTTTTCCCACAATCAGGACATTCAAAAGGTTTCACTCCTGTGTGAGTCCTCTGGTGGTTCACAAGCTCAGAATTCCAAAGGAAACTTTTCACACAATCTGGACACTGATATGTTTTTTCCCTGGAGTGAGTCCTCTGGTGTGTCAGCAGTCTAGAATTGCTACTGAAATTTTTTCCACAATCAGGACATTCATATGATTTCTTTCTTATGTGCATCCTCTGGTGTTTCAACCGGTTGGAATTGTGACTGAACCGTTTCCCACAGATAGCACATTCAAAGGGTTTCTCTCCTGTGTGACTCCTCTGGTGTAACACCAGATTGGAATTGTGACTGAAACATTTCCCACAATCAGGACATTCAAAGATTATCCTTTCTATGTGAATCCTCTGGTGGCTAATGAGGCGGGAATTTCTATTGAAACTTTTCCCACAATCAGGACATTTAAAGGGTTTCTCTCCTGTGTGAGTCCTCTGGTGTATCACCAGATTGGAATTTTGACTGAAACATTTTTCACAATCAGGACATTCAAAGGGTTTCTCTCCTGTGTGAGTGCTCTGGTGTCTCACTAGATGGGAATTTCTAATGAAATCTTTCCCACAATCAGGACATTCAAAGGGTTTCTCTCCTGTGTGAGTCCTCTGATGAATCACCAGGCTTGAATTCTGACTGAAACTTTTCCCACAATCAGAACATTCAAAGGGTTTCTGTCCTGTGTGAGTCGTTTTGTGTGTCGCCAGGCTTGAACTCCGACTGAAATGTTTGCCACAATCAGGACATACAAAAGGTTTCTCTCCTGTGTGAGTCCTCTGGTGTGGAATGAGGTGGGAACTCTGACTGAAACTTTTTCCACAATCAGAACATTCAAAGGGTTTCTCTCCTGTGTGAGTCCTCTGGTGTTTCACCAGCCTGGAATTGTAAGTGAAACGTTTGCCACAGATAGGGCATTCAAAAGATTTCTCTTCCATGCGAGTCCTCTGTTGTCTCATGAGGTGTGAATTTCGAATGAAATTTTCATACAATCCAGACACTCATATGTGATGTGAGTCCTCTGATGTATCACCATGTTGCCATGCTCACTAAAGTATTTACCACATTGGGAACACTTTTATGGCTTTTATTCTGTGTGGATCTTCTCATGCATAATCAGCTGTGTTTTGCAATCTGATTTTCTCACAATAGGCACATCTATGGAGCTTTTCCATTACTTATATTCTTGAGGTCAAAATATGTGTGATCCCTTTTTAGTGAGGTTTTGATTAAAGCCGTTTTTTTCCTCCCAGAGCAAAGCCTGCATCACTGTCTGCCCTACATGGCTCGCCAAATGATGTTTTACTTCCCAGTAACTACCAGATATTTCCCTCTTTTGTGGAATAAAAAATATTCTCCCTTGACTTTTCATGTAATATATTCTCAAGTTCCATATGCTCTACTTATTCCAGCTTGACATTTTTCTTAGTTTTCTCTTTTGTCTATCAACTGCTAGAGAGCAGAATTGTGTGGTTTTCTGAAGGAAATGGAAAATATTTTGATTTCTGGCTTGATTTATATTCCCTTTCAATGTTGCTTGTTATTCTCAGTTGTCCAGAGTGCTCTTATTGCTATCCCCTTTGTCTATAAGATTGAAAGAAATGTTTAACTTTAATTGTGTATAAAATGGTTGCAGAAGATGTGAAAAAAATAAAAAAAATATATATTACAACTAAAAAGCAAACATGCGACAATGCTAGAATTACCTCTTACATTAATTATGATTCATTTGACAGATGGAAGACTACCAAGATCCAATTTAAAATATCCACTCAATCATGAAATTCCCTAGTTGACTTGGGTCAATCACAAATTCTTAGCACTGCAAAGGGTTATCATAAAATATATCTGGAAGCACTGGATATAAATTATATATATGCATACAGAGAGAAATATAGATGCCTACAAATGTATATATTGGGAAAATTCATGTCTTTCAAGCCTGAAAAATGTCCACAAATGGTTACAAATCTTCCAAGCTAACTTTAGAAATGTGAGGTTTTAATTGATGAAATGAGGCCTAAAGCTTCTGCAAGATTTGAAGCACCAGTTTTGCCCATGGAAGTCCTCAGCTCTTAAGGGCAGAAAATACTGTTCATAATGACGCAGGTGACATCCCAATTAAAGCAGTCCTCATCTCCTGACCTCAATTGTGACTGGCATTTGTGTTGCTAAGCAACCCGATCGTGAGCATGATGTCACATCACAGTGCCAACTTAAATCTGATCCTTTGCAGCTGTTAAGCAAATAACTGTGGGTTGTTAAAGGGAATTTCACATGACTATGACTTGCATATGGGATCTTCACTGATTGTTAGAAGCTAGCTGGGAAGGTCACAAATGGGGATCATGAGTGTGGGATGCGGAAACTATCAAATCTGTGCACCGTAGTGCACAGTTTGTGTAGTACCCAAATCGGTGCATCTCCTTTTCCTGCACCTTCATAGCTACAGGAATTGCTGACATGCTGTCAATGAACAAGTGCTATGATGACCATAAATGTGTGGACCAGGTGTAGTATGTCTGCTTTTACAATGCCATAGTAACTTTGAAGACTCAGGGAAGAAGTGGTGAGAACTGCATATACAACTGAACATCCCAAAAGGTCCTCAATAGCCATTTTTGAAAAAGTGCTGGATTAAGTAGAATTGAATCTGGTTAATACACAAATGCAGCACCAATATGAAACACCTTGCTTATTGGCAAGACACGGAGGTAAAGAAACAAAAATCCCCTAAAAAGACCAGTGGCAGATTCAGTCCAATCTTGTTTCCAAGAAACAGCAAGTCCATAACAGAATAACAGAATTGGAAGGGACCTTGGTGGTCTCTTAACCAATCTCCTGCTCAGGCAGGAGACCCTATACCATTCCGGACAAATGGCTGTCCAATATTGTCTTAAAAGTTCCTGACAAATCTAGATAACAACTTTGTCATCCAAAAAGTAGAGGAGGAAACTAGGAGTCTCCTATAGTGACCTAAAGCCCAGTCCAGCACAATACTAGTGAAAAAGAAAAATATATTCTAAAAGAAATGAGTCAGATAAACTGAAAGACAAAAGGATAATTATAAAAATGGAAAGAGGGACATACCAGCAGTTACCCTGAATCTACAAAAATGAAATCAGGAAAGCTAAGGCTCAGAATGAACTAAAGACTTGCCATAAATGTCAAAAATATTTTTTTAAAAAATTTCAACATGTAAAGTACAAGAAGAAAGTGAAGGAAACAATAGGTCTGCTAATGGGAGAAGATGGCAAGGAAGTGACTGGCAGCAAGGAGAAAGTGGGGCTACTTACCATATTTTTCAGAGTATTAGACATACCTTTTTGCCCCCTAAAAGGGGGTGAAAATTTAGGTGCGTCTTATACACCAAATGTAGCCCCACCCACCCACTGTCCCCCATCCTTTGGCCCTTGCCTCACAGCAGTTACCTCCTTGCAAGCAAACAGCAAGAAAAAACAGCTCCTTTCAGCTTCAGCACAGGCTAATTAGTACAAGTTGATTGGATCGGCCTCCTGACTCAGCTGATTTGCTCTCAGCTGTTTTGCAGGGCTCTGCTGCTTGCTGCAAGAGGTAAATTGCTGGAGCAGATTTTTTTTACCTTGTGCTATTATCAAGCTATGCTGAAAAAGAAAATGAAAGTAAAGCAGGCTGCAGCATCCCGAGAGAAGCAGAGAAGATCATTGCTTGCAAGCAGACAAGCAGAGGTACCAAGCATACACCATGCTGTGGGAAAAATGAGAGGTCCTGTTGTCCCACAGAGCCTGCCGCTGCTTGGGGGGTGGGTGGGAAAGATGAGCTAAGATGTTTAAAGATAAATCAGCTAAGTGTTGGAAATGTCACCAGTTGCCGGGATCATACTATCTATATGTGGTGGTTGTGTAAAGAAGCAAAAAAATACAAACATGGTTAGAGGGAATGTTGCAGCAATATATAGAGTAAAAACCAGAGATATTCTTATTGGGAATTTTACCAGAGAATTATAGTAAAGAAGATACATATTTGATTACTCATATAATAACAGCGGCTAGAATTGTATTTTTTTTTTATAAATTTTTATATTATAAAAATGTACGCAAATGATGAAATAAAAATAAATAATAATTGAATAAAAAATTGAAATGAGAATTAAGATAATTAGAAAATCGGGGCTGCTCAAATACCACTTGAACTGAATTGGGAAACAATTCAGATTGAACTGAAAAGGGAAACAACAGGAGAGAGGGGAAGGAGTAGAGAGAGAGGAAGGGAGAGGAGAAGAGAAAGAAGAAGGAAAAAGGAGAGGAAGAAAAGGGAGGGGGAAAGAGGAGCAGAGGAGGAGGTTAGAAGGAGGGAAGAAGAGAGGAGTGGGGGAAGAGAAAGGGAAGTAGGAAAGAGAAGGAGAGGAAGAACGAAGGAAGTAGGAGAAAGAGGAAGGAAGAGAAGAAAGGTTGGAGTCAAGGTAAAAGGTAAAAGAGCAGTTCCGAAAAAGTAAAAATGAAAGTTAAAAGAAAAGATGAATGAAAAATGATGGAAATGACTGTACATGTAAATGTGTTTATGAGAAATAAAAATAAAAAACTTTTTAAAAAAAATCCTGTGGACATAGTATATTGGAATTTCAGTAAGGCGCTTGATAAAGTAGACCACAATCTACTTCTTGGTAAGTGAAGAAAATGTAGGACAGATAGCATCACCATCACATATATTTGTAACTGGCTGACAAACCGCACTCAAGGTGTAGTCCTTTTTTTTTTTTTTTAATTTGATTTATATGCCGTCCTTCTCCGAAGACTCAGGGCGGCTTACAATGTGCTCAGCAATAGCCTTCATCCTTTTGTATATTTATACAAAGTCAGCTTATTGCCCCCACAACTGGGTCCTCATTTTACCTACCTTAGAAAGGATGGAAGGCTGAGTCAACCTTGAGCCTTGGCGAGATTCGAACCCTGCAGTAATTGCAGGCAGCTGGTCTTAATAACCAGCTTAATAACAGGGTGCCCTAAACCCCTGTACTACCAAGGCTCTTAATGGAACTACAAGGTTCCTTAATGGAACTACATCTCTATCCAGGGAAACTAAGCCAGGAGATAAGAGCCTAGGACTGAGAAATTTCCTGACACCCAGAACAATTAACCAGTGGAAAAGCTTAGCCTTCAGAAGTTGTGGGTGCTCCATCACTGGAGGCTTTTAAACAGAGACTGGAGAGCCATTTGTCTGAAATGATATTGGGTCTCCTGCTTGATCAGGGGGTTGGAATAGAAGACCTCCAAGGATCCTTCAAACTATGAGCTCCTCTGTTACAAACCTCCAGGGATGGAGCACCCACCACCTCTGGAGGGAAGCCATCCCCAAAGCATAAACCCTGTCTTGAAAGAGACTTTTTAGATCTTCCCACCAGCAGAAAATTGCAGCCACCAGTTTCACAGCCTGCAGCACCAGTGGACCAGGGGAGGGAAGGAACCTGCAGCAGCAGCAGCAGCAGCAGCTCCTTCTCTGCTTCCAGACCGTGGAAGAAACCACATAGCACTACTTGCTTCCTGGATTCTTCTCCAACCTGTCCTCGAGGATCTTACCTCCTGGCCAGCTGCAGCTTCAACCCCGGGGAAGAGCATAAAAGCCACTCTGCACACCACCTTCCGCCCATGAGTGATCCGGAAATTCCTCTGCTCTTCTTCTCTCCTCCCATCCTTTCTAGCAATATGGTACTCGATGGTTTTAACTCCTTTATTATGTATTATGCACTTTTTCAGGCACAAATGTTGCCTATCTGACTGCCACCTCCTGTCCTGATGGGAGGTAGAAAAACATGCTTGTCCCGCCTCTGCCTAAGTCATTTGCAAGATGCTTTTGCTGATTAAATGCTATCAAATTGTTATCGACTTCTAGCAACAGACTTTTGCAACTGAGACAAATGAACTAGTGAAATGTGAGGCTACTTAGCTTACGGAGATTAGCTTCATGCTGAGCCTTAAAAGTTCATGAAGGTTTTATAAAAGTACACAATCAGCTTTCTTAGGGGTGACTCTCAGTGGAAATCAAAGCCTCTCTACATCCAAAAACTTAAAATATTTTGTGTGCCTCCCAAGGATTTAGGACACTGGCAGCACCATCAGGCAAGATGCTCCAGGGGAAGAGAGCTTCACTCTTGCTGACCAAAGCTGCATCCAAAAGCACCAACCACAGATTGCTTCATTGCTCAAGGAGGAAATTTTATATCTGCTAAATGCCATGTGCTGCTGTAAATTTGCTTGCACTGAAGTCTCCATTAGGTCACAGAGAGAAAAATATGCAGCAGAGCCTAAAAAATGGAGCCTAAGAAAGAGGGGCTGATTGCCTATATATGGTAGAAGAAATGTTTCCCCGAAAAATTGGGAAAAAAAAAACAAAAGGCAAAAATAGAATAACCAATCACACCACATAGCTAGCTAATCACCAGGCTAACCTTTTTTAGAAAGCTACCCTGCAATGTCATTTTTAATTAATTTATTTATTTATTTATTTTTAAATTTGTACACCGCCCTTCTCCCTGAGGACTCAGGGCGGTGAACAGCCAAGTAAAAGCATAAACTACTAACATTAAAATACAATTAAAAAGATATATATAAATTTGGCCCCATGAATAAAAACAACAAACAATTAAAAACATTTTAAAAAGTGTTAGGCCAGCCCGGCTTGCTGGAAAAAATGGGTTTTAAGGGCATGGGGGAAGGCACCGAGGTCTTGGATTCTCCTTATCTCTGGGGGCAGCTGATTCCAGAGGGTAGGTGCCCCCACAGAGAAGGCCCTCCCCCTGGGGGTCACCAGCCTACATTGTTTGGCTGATGGCACACCGAGGAGGCCCTCTCTGTGGGAGCGCACAGGTCGATGGGAGGCCGTCGGTAGCAGCAGGCGGTCTCGAAGATAACTGATTAATTAATTAATGCATTAATGCATTAATTAATTAATCAGTTATCTTCGAGACCGCCTGCTGCTACCGACGGCCTCCCATCGACCTGTGCGCTCCCACAGAGAGGGCCTCCTCGGTATGGATGGTGAGGATAGTGGCTATTGGTTCTGGGCTCTGTTGTATATAGGAATCTGGAATAAAATAACCCCAAACTTTTATTGATTACCTTTTCATTCAGGAACTCATGATGGCATATAAAGCCCTTTCTGAGTAGCATGCTGTAATTTACAGGGCAAATGTCCTCTAGCCTACCTGCCTACCTACCATGACATGCTTTTTGCCTCTCAATATTTCATAGCTCCTGGAAGGTGTCTTTATGCTTAACCTAACACTGAATTAGAACTCATGGCTTTCCATCCAGTCTCCTTGAGCCTTACACTAGATGTTTGAGTTTGGTGCCTTTTAAGTCAGTCGAGTCAAGCAGTTTTCCCCCTTTCTTGCTTAGGTCTAGGCCTGATATGACTGGCCAAAGTTGCACAGATGGCTTAAGGCAGGATTGGAACGGAGTATTTTCCAGTCTCTAACCTGGTGCCTTCACGACTACACAAACCTGGAGCTGCTTCTTCCCCACAAAATGTACCCATTGAGCCGTTCCTGCTGCTCCAACAGTCCAACATCTTTGCATTTGGCTCGTCCTTACCTTCCAGATAACTACTGTCTTTCAACCCGAGCTTCAGACTTCCTTTGTGGGCTGGTGGCTTCTGGCCTGGACCTGTGTGGCGTTTGGGCTGCCTTTTAATTTGCTCAAATTTGTTAGAGACGTAGTGTTAGTAAGTTTTGAGGGTCTAATTTATCTTTTTATTGTAAAGAGGTTTTTTTTATTATTGTTGGGTATTCTATTGGAAGAAAAATCCAGTCCGGTTCCAAGCTAGTGGAAAGGCGTTGGAAATAAAATACGAGGCCGATTGGAAGGAAGATTGATGAACAGAACCACCTACAGCATGTGGTTCTGGGACAACTGACAAATTAGCTGGATGAGTGCAAGGGTTTTTATAGTTTCTGAAATGCTACAGGGGTTGTACAATGTAGTGAGCCTGTTGTCTCTTGCTGTTCTAATGCTGGTGGGTTAATCCTATTATGTCCTGAAGGTCATGTGCTGTTCTTAGAATTTGGGTGGAGGGGGATATAAATTTTAATCCCATTGCTGGAAGTGAAGGTGTTCTGTTTGTGAAAAGGCTGGCCCAGTCTTTCTTCATGGGCACGAAATAGCCATCTCTAAAGATTTCAGGCATCTGCTGGGGGCTATTAAAAAAGACTGAGGTTGCTGTCTTTAAGAACATGTCTCTCCATTTCTCCTTTGGGGAAATATAATATTCTGCCTCTTTTAATATTCCCCAAAATATTTCATTGTTCTAGGAGGGGGGCTTCTCACACTCCTATTTCTCTCATGTTAGTTTTAATGGGTCTTCTTTCTATATTGTAATTCACTTTTTTATTTATTTTATTTTTTATTTTTTATTTATTTTTATATGCTGCCCTTCTCTGGAGACTCAGGGCAGTTTACAATGCGTTAAGCAATAGCCTTCATACTTTTGTATATTTTATACAAAGTCAGCTTATTGCCCCCACAAACAGGGTCCTCATTTTACCCACCTTAGAAAGGATGGAAGGCTGAGTCGACCTTGAGCCTGGTGAGAATTGAATTCGCAGTAATTGCAGGCAGCTGGATGTTAAATGCTGCCTTAGTAGGAGGCATTAGCCTCCTACGCCACTCAGGCTCCTTCACTTCACTCCACTTAATATTTCTGCTCTGCACTTCATCCTTAATCATGACAAACTATTATTTTTATGCCCAGATTCATACCGATGCCCCCCTTTCTTGCCTTCTGGGGCTTTTGTTGTACATGCATCAGACACCTCCAAGAAAAAAAAATTGCACTCTGCAATGAACTCTTGCAGTAGCCAGCAAAGCCATAAACTTTCAAGTTCTTCTTTTCCCTGTCTTAATGTCCAACTTTATTCCCCAAAGAAATAAGAAATCCATGGCTAATAAATATAATTGAGCCGTGGTGGCACAGTGGTTAGAATGCAGTACCGCAGGCTACTTCTGCTGATCACCGGCTGTCAGCAATTTGGCAGTTTGGATCTCACTGGCTCAAGGTTGACTCACCCTTCCATCCTTCCCAGGTTGGTAAAATGAGAACCCAGAGAATTGGGGGCAATACGCTGACTCTGTAACCCACTTAGAGAGGGCTGTAAAGCACTGTAAAGCGGTATATAAGTCTAAGTACTATTGCTATAATTTGTCCTCATTGGGTTGGATCCTAAGCATTGCTTTAGAATGCATGATTATGCACTACAGTAAAGTCCTGTCAAAGATTTAGAGGCTTTGGCTATTTCAAGTTTTTTTTTAAAACCATGAGACATGACGACAGCTATGAAAAAAAAAAAAAAAAAAAAAGACACCAAAAATGAGTGAAAGGAAACATTAAATATAATTTTAATGTTTTAAAATTTAGAAACTTTCAAACTTCAAACTTGAAGCTACCTAGAGCTGGAGCCTCAGGCCAAAAGAGGTTCTTGGTTCCTCCTCACCCCTGACCTGCTCCTGGTTGTGGGTGTCCTTTTGCAGAGGAATCATCAAATGCAAAGTGACCCACTAGAAAAAATATATGGAACCAGTCCTCTGAATTGTGTTAGTGAAATGAACACACTTGCAATTCTTTGGTGTCTTCTAAACTCAGCAAAATCAGCTCATTCATTTGCATAGCTAAAATTCCAGCTCTCTGCTCCGATTATTGCTCCTCTCTTTACTTGTATGGATTATTTGGAAAATATTAAAAATAAGTCCTGAGAGAGGAATGAAAGAAATGGAAACATCTTAACGCCCACATTCACAGCAATGCTGACAATACCCTTTTTTTTTTTCATTCTCAAAAGCTATTTAAAGACCCACACAATGTTTTTTAGAAATGAAACATTTTGTACCATATAATTTATTTCTCACAGCTCCAACACCAAGGCAGTGTTGGAGCTGAGTCCGCCCTGAGTCTTCGAAGAGGGGCGGCATACAAATTGAATTAATAAATAAATAGTTGCAACAAATAAGACAAATAAGCATCTTGATGCTGCTACCACGGGGGTAACAAGCAGGCACCTCCAAGAAGAAAAGATCATAGCAGGGGTTGTTAATGAACCGAAGAACCCTGTACTCAAAACCACAATGCTTCTTCTGCTAAAGGTACAAGCTACTCTCTGCATATTTTTTTACAATGTATTCTTTAGAAGCTTCAGCAGCTTATCGGGACCACTCAGAAACATCGCTTATGACTCACATAAATTTTGTGCAAAGGATATGCTGGCTAGGAAATTCTGGCCTCAAAACTGGAAGACATTCAGGATGCAGAAGGATGAAACTGAATGTTGCATTTCTATGTTCTATAATGCTCAATTTGCAAATTGCACCATTTCTGTTAACGTAAATATACAGTTACTTCTGCTGATGGGCAGATATGTACTGTTCGTCTTTATCAAACTAACATTTTCCATTTTTTCATGCTCATCCTTGATGTCTTATGAGATGTTTGATTAACAAGAATCAGGCCATAGTCGGTAATCAGTTGTTCATCTTGACTTCCAATAGGACACTAGAAATGAATTTCAAGACTTCTCTAAACTTATCATCTCCTGCATCATGTGGATTTTCTTGTGTGCAGTAAGGGAGGAATTTTTTGTGAAACACCGTCCACATTCCAGGCATTTGAATGGTTTCTCCCCTGTATGTATACCTACATGATTTATAAGACTAGACCTAGTGCTAAAATCTTTCCCACAATCTGGACACTCATATGGTTTCTCTCCTGTGTGACTTCTCTGGTGTATCACCAGGTCTGAATTCCGAAAGAAACTTTTCCCGCAATCTGTACACTCATATGGTTTCTCTCCTTTGTGAATCTTCTTGTGTGTCATTAGATGAGAATTCTGACTGAAACTTTTCCCACAATCTAGACACTCATATGCTTTCTCTCCTGTGTGAGTCCTCTGGTGTATTGCCAGGCTGGAATTTCGACTGAATTTTTTTCTACAATCTGGACATTCATATGGTTTCTCTCCTGTGTGAGTCCTCTGGTGTCTCACCAAATCAGAATTCTGACTGAAACTTATTCCACAATCTGGACACTCGTACGGTTTCTCTCCTGTGTGAGTCTTCTGGTGAATCATCAGGTGGGAATTCCGACGAAATTTTTTTCCACAAACCAGACATTCATATGGTTTCTCTCCTGTGTGTGTTGTCTGGTGTATCACCAGGTTGGAATTCTGACTGAAACTTTTCCCACAATCTGGACATTCATACGGTTTCTCTCCTGTGTGAGTCCTCTGGTGTATCACCAGTTCAAAATTCCGAATGAAACTTTTCCCACAAACCAGACACTTATAAGGTTTCTCCCCTGTATGAATCCTCTTATGTATCACCAGGTAGGAATTCTGACTGAAACCTTTCCCACAATCTGTACACTCAAACGGTTTCGCCATAGTGTCAGTCCTCTGGGGGATTATCAGCTTGTCCTGCTTGATATAGTTTTTGCTGCATTGGGAGCTCTGGTAGGGCTCCCCTCTGGTGTGAGTAGTCCTTTCATGAACAACCAGGGAACTGTTCTGATCAAAGCTTTTGCTGCATTGGGAGCATTGATATGGCTTTTCTCCAGTATGGATCCTCTCATGCATAATCAGATGTGATCTACAATCTGTGCTTTTCCCATAATAGGCACATCTGTGGATCTTTTCCACCCCTGACATTCTTGGATTCTCAAGGACATCAAAAACACTCTGAATGCCTTCTTGGATGGACTTTGATTCAAACTACTATTTGCTTCCTCACCAGTCGAGGCCTGTATTGTGATCTGCCTTATGTGGCTGTCCAAGTGACCTTTTCCTTCCCATCGACTTCCAGATATTTCCCTCTTTTTCTGAACTAGGAAATGATCCCCCTTGATATTTTGATGTGTTTCTTCCAGATACTCTATTTTTTTCTCCAGCTCAAAACTCTTTTCCTACTTTTCTCTTCCTTGTCTGTAAGCTGCTGGAGAAGAATAAGAGTTTTGGGATTTTCCGGAGGAACTAATAAGATTTTGATTGTTGCCTTGGTTTCCTTTGCATTTTAATGCTGCATGTGATTCTCAGTTCTCCAGTGCTCTCAATGGCATTCTTTTGCCTATAAGATTCACATAAAAGGGTTAGTTTAATTATGGTTTATAAAATAGCTACATAGCATTTGAAAAAAATAAGAGCAAAAAGCATGTATATTACAATAAAACATGCCAACGATGCCAAAATGCTATTTTAACCTCTTGCATTAAGTACGATTCATTTTCAATATACATGTCTAGTGAGATCCAAGTTCAAATATCCACTCAATAGGGAAATGTACTTGTTGACTTGGATCAATCATGCATTCAACCCAATTCAGGTAGTCCTCACTTACTGACAGCCATTGGGACCAGCAAGTCTATTTCTAAATGGCATGGTCATTAAGTATGACATCACTTAACCATGCCAACTTACAACATCTGTTCTAGCTATGGTCATTAAGTGAATCACCATGGTCTCCTCAGTGCAGTGTAACGTAACTGTGACTTGCAGCTTCCTGTCAATTCCCAATTCATTTTGTTTGTTAGAAGTCAGTTGTGAATGTTCCAAATGTTGAGTCCGTGACTGTGGGACACCACAACCGTAAATGCAAGCTAGTGTCATTCTCACATAACTGTGATAGCCACAACTTTGAGGAACACTTTAAAGTTGTCTTTTTAACACCACCGTAGCTTTGAAGACTGAGTTGTAAGCAATAAGGTAGGCTTACCTATAAAACCGAACATCCTAAATGGGCTCAATAACTATTTTTTTTTTAAAAAAAAAATCTGGGTTAAGCACATTTGTGCCACATTAATCCATGGACAGCACACCACCAGGAAATCCTGTGTTTGTTTGCTAGATATGGAAGTAAAAATTTCCATATCTAGCGCACCTAGCGGATCTGCGCACCTTCCGCCGCGCTCTAAAGACTTTTTTATTTCACCAGGCGGGCCTGGCCCAATTTTCTCCCTCTTTTATAAAAGAATTTTTAATTTTTAATATTTTTTAGTATTTTATATATTTAAATTTTAAAATTGGTTTTAAATTGATTGGGGTTTTAATTTGATCTGGGCCAAAAACTATTTAATTTGATTTTAATTCTGCTTTTAAATTTTGTATGTATGGATTCTATTGTTGGCTGTTCACCGCCCTGAGTCCTTTGGGAGTAGGGCGGTATAGAAATCAAATCAAATCAAATAAATAAATAAATAAATAAATAAATAAAAACAAAATTCCTGAAGACACCACTGGCAGATCAGTTCCTAATTGTCGCCAAGAAAAGAACATGCCCATAAAATTACAAGGAGTCAACCCTAACACGGAGGAAACTAAAAATAAATAAATAAATCTCCCAACAGATAGAAAAATGCAGGCACCAGTTTTAAAGCATGCACCACCAGTGGAATAAAATCCGGGGAGGGAAGGAATATGTAGCAGCTGACATGTTTCAGCCTCGTTGCTTCTCTGCTTTTTACACCCTGGGGAAACCCAAACAGCCCTACTTGCTTCCGGCCTTTCCTCCACCTGTCCGTAGCTCACCTTTCATCTGCTGCTTCCACCCTGGGAAGACCAGGAGAGCCACCCCCCCCCCACCTCCAACCTCTCAGCGGAGAGCCGGAAGAGGAAGCGCTCCTGCTGTTGTTCTCTTCTCCTCCAAATCCCCTCTAGGAATCTACTATTGGAATGTTTCAACTCCTTTCGCCTCAATTACCGATGCTCTACTTGCGGTGAAAGTTGTCTAGCGCCGCCGTTTGCTTATCTATGGCGCGCCATCTAGTGACATAAAGCTGAAAAACAGGATGTTCTATCTCTACCTAAGGCAGTAGCAATATATTTTTTTTTATTGGTCATGCTCCCGTCAAGTCGACTCCAATGATCAGATCACTTTCTCCATGATGATTATCCCTAACTTGTTCGCTGGATTCACTCATCACCACAGAAATAGCTTCCCGTGCAAGAAGCTAGAACTATACCGAGGGAAAGAAGGGGGGGGGGGGGCTATATGCATACAGCAGTCAAAGCCAGTGGTGGGTTTCAATTTTTTTTACTACTGGTTCTGTGGGCGTGGTTTGGTGGGTGTGGCTTGGTGGGCGGGGCAGAGGAAAATCTCCATTTCCTCCCCACTCCAGGTGAAGGTTACTGCAAAATCCCCATTTCCTCCTGATCAGCTGGGACTTGGGAGGCAGAGAATAGATGGGGGGCAGGGCCAGTCAGAATTTTTACTACTGGTTCTCCAAACTACTCAAAATTTCCACTACCGGTTCTCCAGAACTGGTCAGAACCTGCTGAAACCCACCTCTGGCCAAAGTGCACCTCCTTTAAGGATCAGTGAAGACTGTTCCAGCCAGTTATATGTCTTGAGGTGTGGGTGTGTGCAGGACAACTCATGAACGCTTAGTTTTGCAAGAGACAGAAGCTTGAAGATGGAAGCTTGACCCTGCTTAGCTTTTCAAAATTAACTAGATTCTTAAAAGCCTGAAAAGAGCCTTAAAAGAAAAAGAAAAAAAGAAAAAAGAAAGAAAGAAAAAAAAGCCTTAAAAGAGCCTTAAAAGCCTGAAAAGAGCCTTGATAGCACAGGGGTTTAGTGCACCCTGTAATTAACACAGCTGCCTGCAATTTCTGCTGGTTCGAATCTCTCCAAGGCTCAAGGTTGACTCAGCCTTCCATCCTTTCTAAGGTAGGTGAAATGAGGACCCAGTTTGTGGGGGCAATAAGCTGACTTTGTATAAACATACAAAAGAATGAAGGCTATTGCTTAACGCATTGTAAGCCGCCCTGAGTCTCCGGAGAAGGGCGGCATATAAATCAAATTAAAAAAAAAAAAAAAAAAACCTCACAAAGCACTTATTTGTGTGCAGGCGCCCTAAATTATTGCCAGCTTGCTAGCTTGATTCCAGTAATAAATGGAACATGCAACATTAATTCCCCATCTGTAATATTGGGGAGTGAATCTCACTAGAGCAGTCTCCCCAATTTCCAGAGTAAGAATTCAGCCTTGATTATTCCTGAGCAGAATATTTGGAGGGTGTTAGTTTGCAGATTGGAATCTGATCGATAAATTCCTCCACTTTTGTAGGGTTTGGCTCTCAGTAAAGATGAATACCTCTCTACATCCTAAACTTTTATGACTTGTTTCCTGTGGCTCCCAAAGAATTAGGACCTGGGAGCATCAACAGGCCAGAGACCCCAAGGGAACAAGCTTCATTCTTGCAGGCCAGACTGCCTCCAAGCACGCCCAGGTTTGTTTCATTTCTAAAGGAAGAAAGTTTAAGTCTGCTAAATGCCACGTGCTTCTGTAAGTTGTCTTGCATAGAAATGTCCATTAGGATAAAGCCAGAGAAAATATATGCAGCAGAATCTAGAAAAAGGGGGCCTAGAAAGAGGGGGTGACTGCCTAAGTACTGCCAAAAAAAAAACAAAAAAAACAAACTCCCCAAAGTGACATTTCAGAGGATTGTAAAAGTACATGCAAAAATCTATGAAAGGTTGCCATACTCTTTGTTTGAAATGCATATCCTTTTAAATTTGAAACTTTTAAAGTAATATACGAAACAAAATAATTTTACATATAGGCTCAGACAAACACCTCTCTTATTCACAGGAGCCTAATAAGAAGTTGGGGGTGGGAGGCACAACACACTCAAGACTTGCAAGGTTTTCTTATTACCTTCAGTCTTTATAAAAAAAAAAAACCTGTTGAGTCTTCCTGTGAAGTTGATTTCTTGGTCTGGTCTATCAAGTGAGGCTGAGCCTGAGGGACCTTTCATGGCTGTAGAGAGACTGGAACTTGGGTGTCCCCACTTCTAGTCCAGCAACAGTATCTTCACCCTTGCCAGCACCCCAGCTCTCCAATAGAAAAGCCATCCAGAGAGACTTCCTACTGCACATTGGTCTCCTCCCTATCAACTGGAAGAAGAATAAGCCTGTAGGGTGTTGATGAACACAGATAGTCCTCACGTAGTGACCACAATTGTGATGGACAATTCTGGCAAATCGCTTTATTGCAACAGGCTTTTGACCTCACTTCTTTTCTGGTCATTAAGTGAATCAATGTGGACATTGAGATATCAAATGACTGCTACTTTTGATTTTATTTCTGTCTTCCCCATGAATTTTATCTTAAGCTTGTTGGGGAGCATGTTAATGGCTATCACAGAATCAGGGGACAAGGTGATGGTGGTAAATGCAAAGATTTTTCGCCGAACTGTTTTTTATATACCATCATAATCTTGAATGGTTGCTAAACCAGGCAAATGGTGAGTGAGGACTATCTGTATTACACCCAGAAAAAAAGTCATTTGCACTGGATGTCATTTGCTGGAAGCATCGTGGGGAGCTGGTTCTATCCAGCTTCACATCCAGAAGGATGTGAAGGATCGTGAAGGATCGTGGTGAGATATTTCTGCTCTGGGAGCTCCCCTTCCTCTGGGACTGATGGAGGCATTTGGGATTATGAGCGCACAAAAATGGATGGCTCTCTCCCAAATGGAAGGGTTTGTGAGCCAGAGCTCTTCCCAAGAAGATGCCATAGGGAGCACAGCCAGTTCTTAAAAGCCCCCTTACCATGCTTCCTTCTAATCCTTCTCTTCAATAGCCCAGTTATCCTACCTCCTTCAACTGATGGTCATACGATTTAGCATCCAGACCCTTTATCATCTTTATTGATCTTCTCTGCACTTTCCAGGGTCTTAATCTCTTTTCTGTATTGTGGTGACCAGAACTGGATGCAGTATTCTAAGTATGGTCTCACTAGTATAGTGTGAAGCAGTACTATTACTTCTTGTTGTCTTGACACAATCCCTTTGTTGATGCAGCCTAGGACTACACTGACTTTTTTTAGCAGCTACAGCACACTACTGGCTCATACTTCTCCAATAGGACACTTAAGATTCTTCTCACCCTTAATACTGTTGAGCCAGGTACTATCTATTCTTTACCTGTGCATTTGGTTTTTCCTACCTAAAGGTAGAGCCTTACTTTTCTCACCACTGAACTGCATTTTGTTGGCCCAATGCTCATGTCTCTATAGTTCTGGATCTTGAGTCTACTAAAATATTGGCTCTTCCACCCAACTTGGTATCATCTGCAAATTTCATCAGTTCCCCTTCTATCTCATCTAATTCATTTATAATGTTGAAGAGTACTGGGCCCAAGCCTGAACCTTGAGGTACCCCACTGCATGCTTCTCTCCATGTAAATCTAGTTCATTGAAGAGCATCGACTGAGTGCGGTTTGTCAGTCAACCGCAAATACAGCACAACTTACCAAGAAGTAAGTTGTGGTCCATCTTGTTAAATATCTTGCTGAAGTCCAAGTATACTATCTTTACATTTCACAGATCCACTAATTTAGTTAATCAAACATGGCAATCTGTTTTGGTTCTCTGGCATTATATGTTTTTAGCAAATCCATTCTGGCTTCAGTTACAATTGCCCATCATTTCTATTTCTCCAGAAGCATTAGTGGAAACAGAAAGAGAAGTTTGTTTTAATTAAATAAGTTGTGAAATCCCCAAACATTTAAAAGAAGGAATAAATTTAGGGGCACTGAACCTAGAAGAACCAAGAGGGGTCACAGGCATCTCCAAATACCCCAACTGCCACATTCAGGACCAGCTTTCAGACTGATCAGCCAAGTTCTTCTTATGCTAAAGAAATTCATCCCCGGTAGGGGGGCGTGGCCAGCGTCACAGCGGTACAGTGTGGATTCCGGTGCTTCGGGAAAACACCAATATCCCACCTGATTTTTGGGGATCCCCTGGGATCATAGCTGTCCTGTAGGGACAGTGAAGAACGGAGGCACAGGCTGGCACAGAGAAGGAAGGTGCAAGTCCCTTGAAGTGCCGGTATTAGTCTTCGACCCAGCAGCGAGGGAAGGCAGCCATCGGAGCTGTCAAAAGCAGTGGTGGCCACAAACAAGAAGAGGAAAAGTGAGGATCATCTGGGTGAGAGAGTGATGTCCTGGAAACAAGGTTCCTTTAAAAAAAATTTCTCTCTTGAACTTTAAAAGTATTTAAATTAAAAAGAATTGGCAAAGAGGAGAGGGGAGAGAGTGGAACAAAGCTACCTCCCCTCTTCCGGAACAGCGGCGAAAAAGCGGAAGCCATTAATAACGACAAATTAACAAAAATGGAAAAAACAATTTAAAACTTTAATAAAATTGGAAGCATATTGGGAAAAGAAGCTCCTTTGGCAAATGAACTGTATTTTGAAAACTTAAATTCGTTGTAGCTGGGAGTTTAAAGCTGAAGAAAAAAAGTAAATTGATATTTTAAGACTATTTCAAGTGAGTATGTTGCCATCTAGTGGTGACAGAAGAAATTTAAGAGAATAAAGGAATAGATCAGAGTGAAACAACCTTGGACAGTGTTTTGGAAACTGGCAAGAAAACTTTGATAAGAAGTAGTCTTGTGACTTTGTAACAGAACGGGGAAGACATAGAAAGGAAAAAAAGATTGAAAGTTGTTTCTCTTTTGTTTTGTCTAGTTTTTTTTTTTTTTTTTTTGTATTCTCATTTTACACCTTCACTTGATAGATCTATAGACTTTGGAAGATTTTGGAAGAGTGATATTTTGGAACATTATTTTTTCTTTTTCTGTTCTCCTGGTTGTTCTTTTTCCATTTTTCTATTTACTTTTCTTTTTCTTTCTTTTCTTTTTTTAATGCAGAAGTACCTTCTTGCTGGATTTAATTTTGAGTGTTAAGGACATCTATAGAAGCAATTTATAACTTAACAAGATTAATTATTATTTGAAGATCTATACAACATAGACTCTAGACACTATCACTGACAAAAACACTGACAAAAATACTACTATAGATAACGAAATTGAAACATAATAAGAGTAGTTCAGTGCATGAAATTTTGGGAGAACCTACAAAAAAGAGTTAAGATGACAAGTACCAGAACAACCACTATAACTAAAGCAAATAAGAAAATAACTTCAAATCAAGCCTCCCTTACAGCATCTCCTGCTCAACAGAGATCTATAGATACTATGCTTGGAACAGAAAAAGAAAAGATGGGTTCCATTTCCAGCATACAAAATATTCAGTCAGTCTTGGCAATGATACAGGAAGCGATGACTAAGACCCAGGAATTGATTGCTAATAATCATGAGGAGACAAAAAGAAATCACGACGATTTGAAATCCGATGTGGGAGAGATAAATGATAACATAAAGAAAATGGATGACAAGATAGAAAGGATCCAACAGAACATTGCCAAGAATGAACAAAGGATTCAAAAGCCTGATAGCCTGGTAGCTCAGCAGACTAAAAGCATTGTGATTAACACCAGCTGTCGGCAATTAGTGTAAGTTCGAATCTCACCAGGCTCAAGGTTGACTCAGCCTTCCATCCTTTCTAAGGTAGGTTAAATGAGGACCCAGTTTGTGGGGGCAATAAGCTGACTTTGTATAAATATACAAAAGTATGAAGGCTATTGCTTAACGCATTGTAAGCCGCCCTGAGTCTCCGGAGAAGGGCGGCATATAAATCATTTTTTTTTTTTAAAAAAAAGACAAAACTCAAAAAGGAACAGATGGTCAAGAAAGTAGAAATGCTGGAACAACAACAGATGGCAAGTAATCGGCAGCTCGAAGACTCACTTACTTACTTGGAAATGGAGAAGGCATCATTTTACTTAAGGATCCAGAACATAGCAGAAACCAAACAGGAAGACCTGGGAGAGATAATGACGGAGATTTTCGCTGAAACAATACAGAGACATAAAGATGATATACGAAGGGATATTGATGAAGTTTACAGGGTGCACACCAATTATGCACGTAGGAACAAACTGCCAAAGGACGTGCACGTCTGATTCACAAAGAAAACGATAAAAGAGGAAATATATAGAAAAATGAGAGAGGAGGCAATTTTTTATAAAGGGAAGGAAATAATAACACTGAAACAAATTCCAAGACACATAAGGGACCAGAGGAAAAACTATAACTTCCTCACAACACAATTAAATAAACACAAAGTGATGTTCCATTGACTACTACCAGAGGGCATCTTAATCTCGTGGCAGGATAAGAAATTTAAGATAGATAAGTCTGGAAGGAGCTCAGGAGTTTTTCGACCAACATTTCGTCCTTGAGGAAGACCAAGAATCCAGAGAGGAATCGGAAAATAAGAGCCAAGAGGAATAACCCATAGAAGAAACAGAAGATGAACAAGAGGAGAAGAGAAGATTGGAAAGAGAAAGAATGGAGAGAGAAGGAGCAAGGAGAAAAACGCAAAGAATAACAAGAAACACAAGGAAACTAAAGACAACAAATAGATAGGAAGAAAAATGGAACAGGAAATAAAAATGATTTTGATTAATATAAATGGATTAAATGCCCCAATTAAAAGAACCCAGACATTCACTAAATTACAAAAATTGGAGATAGATATTATAAACCTACAGGAAGTCCACATCAAAAAACAACACCAAAAGATATTAGAAAATACAAGACTAGGAAACCTTTAGACTTCACTAGCAAAACAAAAAAAAAGAGGCATTGCAGTTTACATTAGGAAACACTTAAAAACAAAACAGTATATGCAGATCATGAGGGAAGAGTTCTAATGATCAAAATACAAACAGAATTAAAAACAATATTATTGATTTCGATTTATGCACCAAATGAGAACCAACGTGCCTTCCTCAAAAATATACACAACAAAGTAAAAGACTTGGATTATGAAAATTTTTGCATTGTAGGCGACTTCAATGCAATTTCGGACACAGAAAAAGACTATTGGAGTACCAGAAAAAATAAAACTAGGAAAAAGACCCTCCCAGACACTTTTAAGGAAATGGCGCAAGAACTATGCCTTCAGGACGCTTGGAGGGAGATAAATAAAGAAAAAAAACAGTATACGTTCTATTCCAATCCACATCTATCCTGGTCTAGAATAGATATGGCCTGGATGACAACAGATCTTAGGAAAGACTTAGAAGAAATAGAAATAATGACAAAATATGGGCAGACCATAGTCCTGTAAAAATAACTTGGAAAGGCTATCGGAAGAAGAAGAGATGGATGATGAACACCAAAATTTTAAAAGACAAAGACTATGTACAAATGATAGAAAAAGAAATGAAAATATTTTTTGAGATCAACATCAAAGAGCAAACCTCCCTCCAAAACTTATGGGACACGGCGAAAGCCTATATAAGAGGCTTGACAATAGCATATTTGGCAAAGAAAAACAAAGAAAAACAACAGAAGAAAGACAATTTGTTGAAGGAACTCAAAAGTATGAATCCGAGCTACAGAATGAACCCCAAAACAAAAGGATCAAAGAAAAAATAAATTTGACAAAACACAATATAAATTTGATCACACAAACAGAAATAGCCAGGAAAATTAAATTAGTAAAACAAAATCATTTTGAACACGCGAATAAGACAGGACGATGGTTGGCGTACAAATTGAAGAAAGAAAAAGAGAGAAGGATACTATATCAATTACAGGACGACACAGGAGACATACATTACAGGAACAAGGACAAAAAGAACATAGCAAGAACATTTTTCCAAAAATTATGTGAACAGGATGAGTCTTCAGAAAAGAACATCAAACAATACCTAAACGAAGCCGACATTAAAGAATTAGAAGAATCACACAGGGACCTATTGGACAGGCCAATCACGATGACAGAATTAATAGAGGTGAGGAAAAAACAGAAAATAAACGGACGGTATACCTGCAGAGTTTTATAAAACTTTTACTCGGAGTACTTAATGATGCACTTCTGGAAGCTATAATTCCTAATTCCTAATTCCTAAGGACAGATTAAAACGGTTTTATCCCAAAGAGACAGATAAAAAACAATATGAGATTAATAATGGACGTATTAGAATATTATGAAGCAAATTCAGACAAACAAGCGGCCTTAATTTTTTTAGACACACAGAATGCATTCGACAACCTAAACTGGAAATTTCTTACATTACAACTGGAAGCTATGAAATTCGGTGATAAATTTACAAATATGATAAAGAAAATTTACTCCTCCCAAACTTCAAAAATAACAATAAATGGCGACTTGACAGAACAATTTCCAATATCAAAAGGAGTGAGACAGGGGTGCTCTCTGTCTCCTCTGTTATTCATATTAGCTTTAGAAACTCTCTTAAAGGAAATTAGAAGAGATAAGGAAATAAAAGGTCTGAAAATTAAAAAGGAGGAATACAAACTTCAAGCTTTTGCCGATGACATTGTATTTATTATAGAACAACCGATAACAACCGGCACCAAATTATTAGATAAAATAGAAAAATATGGGAGAGTAGCCGGACTCAAAATCAATAAACAAAAAACCAAGGTACTAACAAAAAATCTCACTAATCAACAAGAAAAGGAATTAGAAGACGAATTAGGCATACAAACGACAAAGAAGGTAAAATATCTAGGAATATGGCTCACCAACAAAACCTCATCAATTAGAGAAGACAATTATGATAAATTGACAAGACAAATTAAAAAAGACTTAGAAATTTGGAAAAAACTACAATTATCTCTTTTGGGAAAGATCGCTTCAATTAAAATGAATGTCCTACCTAGAATTTTATACTTATTCCAAGTGATCCCAATAAAACCGGGGAAGAATTTCTTTAAGGATTTCAATAAATTAATAGCAGACTACATCTGGCAAGGGAAGAAAGCAAGAATTAAAATAAAATACCTACAAGATACAAGAGAAAGAGGAGGACTGGCACTACCGGATGGGAAACATATTAAAAAGCATCAGCACTAATTTGGATCAAGGAATGGATGGAACTCAAAAATAAAGGATTATTGAATTTGGAAGGATTCGATCTACAACGAGGATGGCACGCATTTCTATGGGAGGGCACCGATAAACAACATGGATATTTTCAGAGACATATTGTCAGACAAGCATTATACCAGACATGGCAGGGCATTAAAAAAGCACACTACAATAAAATTCCATAATGGTTATTGACCATGGAAGCCCAGATCTACCCAAACGCCATGAATATCACCAAAATGAGAACCTATAAAGATTTGCTAAATAACCAAGGGGAACTAAGAACAAAACAAGAATTGAAGGAGATGGGTACAGACATTGACTGGTGGCCATACCTACAAATAAAATCAAAGTATAAGAAAGATTCGGCTCAATTTGGATTCCAAAAAGGCCAATACGAATTAGATAAAATTTTACAAGGATCACAGGACAAATTGATAAAAAAAAGTTTATAATTATTTACGAGGATATAAATTAGAAGAAGAGGTGATTAAAGAAAACATGATAATTTGGGCAAAGAATTTTGGCTATAATATTGAATTAGACAATTGGGAAAAATTATGGACAATAAATTATAAATTAACAATGTCTGTACCCTATAAAGAAAATCTGTACAAAATGTTTTATAGGTGGCACCTCCCACCGGCCAGACTGGCAAGAATGTTCCCCAATACTTCTTCAACATGCTGGAAATGCAAACTTCATAAAGGAACCTATTATCACATGTGGTGGACCTGCCCAAAGGCCAAACAGTACTGGCAAAAGATCAGAACACAAATAGAAGAAATTGCACAACAAAGAATAGAAATGAGGCCAGAAACCTTTCTACTAGGCATAATAAATGGACAATACGAAAAGGAAATAAAATATTTAATCATTCATATAACAACAGCAGCACGAATAATTTTTGCACAAAACTGGAAGAGTAGTGACATACCAACAGAAGATAGAGTAATTAGTAAAATCATGGAATGTGCAGAAATGGACAGACTCACAAAGGAATTATAAGATAAAGAGGAACACGATTACTATCTAATATGGGAAAAGTGGTACACTTGGTTGGAAGATAGAAAAGGGAAAAAAGACTAGGAAGTAATTGGAGTGACCTAATATAGAAATAGGAACATAAACCACTAATGCAGGTTAATAGTGAATTATAACGATAGATACAAGAGAAAGACCAAACAAAGAATAAAAGAGAGGAATCGATGTATTTCATGATGTGGGGAAGATTTTATGATGTGTGCACTGCAGTATGCAGTGATGGAGAAGACCATCCTTGAATCTGAGAAGAATGCCAATAAAAACAGATCCAGTTTAGCCATTCTAATTCAACTGTGCCTAATGAGATGCCATTCTTTCACAGAATTTAGGACTGGAGCAGATAGCAATGCAACAAATAAATTTAGAGGCAGAAACCTAACTGCAGTTCATATCATCAGTCACAGAGTGCATGGGCTGATATATGACTGAAACTGAAATTCTAAATTTATAATGAGGAGGGAAGGGAAGCTGAGGAAGACAGATTGGTCATAGAGATGTGGAATGCACAGAGAGATTACAAGTTAACAATTGTAGTGCGTTAGAAAACCACTGTATGTGTGGAGTCCACATCACTGAGCAAGAGTTGGGAAATGAGCTTTACATTACCTTTTCATAATTAAATGCAGTTATTATTAAATTTAATCGCTACTCATCTCACAGTTTGAGGCAACTCTGAGTGTCTTGCCTTGCCCTAATGATCATAGCAACACTGACAATACCCATTTTTTACATGCCAAAAGCTACTAATAATTGTAATATAATGCATTTTAAAAAGAAACATTTTCAATACTGTACATTCCCCCCCCCTCATGTTAAGGTAGCAAAACAGAGAGATTTGTTACTCTTCTGCGTGACGTGTGGCAAAATAGCAGCCACTTCCACAAGTCCACTGCATGGCCCAGGAACAAATCCAGGGCCTACTGAAGAGTGGCTGCTTCCAGGACACAGTCATGAGATCCAAGGATCGTGTCCCCCACTCCTTCCACAACATGAGGATCAGAGATCTTCAAAAGGTAAGGAGGTGGAGGGTGTGAGACCTGGTGGGATGGGAGTCAGGCGTAAGGATTGCAGAGACCCAGTAGGAGTGGGAAAAAAAACCTTGTGGGGACCTTGGGGCGGGGGAAGCAACAGGACTGGGGGGACCATGTGGAGGAGTGAAGGGCCGAGGGGACACAAGGGTTGAGAAACAGAGCACAGGGTGTCTTGGAGGAAGGCTGAGGGATGCCTGTGGCAGGCAAGCCAGGCCCTGCTCTAGGCCTCCAAGAGTTTTCCCCAGCCCTGAGGTACCCAGTGTTCCACTTAGCGACTTGCACATTCAATTAATGGCTGCATCAGGGAGAGCAGGAGGATGCATGTAGTTAAGGAAAGCAGTTTCACTTAACGGCCGTTATAACATGCAACCAATAATAGTTGTATCTTGAGGTCACCAGAAATAGGTAGTTAGCCTTTTTCCACTTTCCTTTTCTCTCCACCTACAAGTCTAATCCTGAGACTTATTTGAGTAAAGAGAATCAGGCCACAATTCAAATACAGGTAGTCTTCAACTTACAACAGTTCATTTGGTGACTGTTCAAAGTTACACCATTCCTGAAAAAAGTGAGTTATGACAATTTTTCACACTTACGACCATTGCAGCATCCCTATGGTCATTAGATCAAAATTCATATGGTTGGCAACTGATTCATATTTATCACCATTGCAGTGTCCTTGAATCATATGATCCCCTTTTATGACATTCTTAGCAAGCAAAGTGAGTGCGGAAGCCAGATTCACTTAATAACGGTGCCACTAACTTAACAACTCCTGTGGTTCACTTAACGGTTGCAAGAAAGGTTGTAACATGGAGCAAAACTAACTTACAAATGTCTCAGTAACATAAATTTTGGGGTCAATTATGGTCATAGGTTGAGGACTATTTGTAATCAATTTCTAACAAATCACAAATGAAATTCAAGCCTTCTCTACACTTCTCTACTTTTGCCTCATATGGATTTCCTTGTGTGCAATAAGGGAGGATTTATGTCTGAAGTAATGTTCACAGACTGGACATTTGAAAGGTTTTTCCCCAGTGTGAGTCCTTTGGTGTATCATCAGATTGGAATTCTGACTGAAACCTTTCCCACAATTAGGACACTGATAAGGTTTCTCTCCTGTGTGAGTCCTCTGGTGGTTCACCAGGCTGGAATTCTGACTGAAACGTTTCTCACAATCAGGACACTGATACGGTTTCTCTCCTGTGTGAGTCCTCTGGTGTGTCACCAGGCTGGAATTCTCACTGAAACTTTTCCCACAAACAGGACATTCAAATGGTTTTTCTCCTGTGTGAGTTCTCCGGTGTTTCAGCAGGACAGAATTCTGACAGAAACTTTTCCCACAATCAGGACATTCAAAGGGTTTCTCTCCTGTGTGAGTTCTCCGGTGTTTCACCAGGCTGGAATTCTGACTGAAATGTTTCCCACAATCAGGACATTGATACGGTTTCTCTCCTGTGTGAGTCCTCTGGTGGTTCACCAGGCTGGAATTTTCACTGAAACTTTTCCCACAAACAGGACATTCAAATGGTTTTTCTCCTGTGTGAGTCCTCTGATGTTTTACCAGGCTCGAATTACAACTGAAACTTTTCCCACACTCAGGACATTCAAAAGGTTTTTCTCCTGTGCGAGACCTCTGGTGTATCACCAGGTCAGAATTACAATTGAAACTTTCCCCACAATCAGTACATTCAAAGCATTTCTCTTTGAATGTACTGAACTCTGTGTGAGTTCTCTGGTGTGTCACCAGGCTGGAATTCTGACTGAAACATTTCCCACAATCAGGACATTGATACGGTTTCTCTCCTGTGTGAGTCCTCTGATGGTTCACCAGGCTGGAATTCTCACTGAAACTTTTCCCACAAACAGGACATTCAAATGGTTTTTCTCCTGTGTGAGTCCTCTGATGTTTTACCAGGGTCGAATTACAACTGAAACTTTTCCCACACTCAGGACATTCAAAAGGTTTTTCTCCTGTGTGAGACCTCTGGTGTATCACCAGGTGAGAATTACAATTGAAACTTTTCCCACACTCAGGACATTCAAAAGGTTTTTCTCCTGTGTGAGACCTGTGGTGTATCACCAGGTGAGAATTACAATTGAAACTTTTCCCACAATCAGGACATTCAAAGGGTTTCTCTCCTGTGTGAATCCTCTGATGTCTCATGAGGTGTGAATTTGTAATGAAACTTTTCCCACAATCTGGACATTCAAAGGGTTTCTCTCCTGTGTGAGTCCTCTGGTGTTTCACCAGGTTGGAATTCTCACTGAAACTTTTCCCACAATCAGGACATTCAAAGGGTTTCTCTCCTGTGTGAGTCCTCTGGTGTCTCACAAGGTGGCAATTTCTAATGAAGCTTTTCCCACAGTCAGGACATTCAAATGGTTTTTCTCCTGTGTGAGTCCTCTGGTGTCTCACAAGGTGGCTATTTCTATTGAAGCTTTTCCCACAATCAGGACATTCAAATGTTTTCTCTCCTGTGTGAGTCCTCTGGTGTATCACCAATTTGCCATGCTCACCAAAGCATTTACCACATTTCGAGCATTTATAGGGCTTCTCTCCTGTGTGGGTCCTTCCATGAACCACAACAGAGCTTTTTTGACCAAAAGTTTTGCCACAGTCAGAGTGATTGTGTGGTTTTTCTCCTGTGTGGATCCTCTTATGCATAATCAGCTTTGCAAGTTCTCTCTTTTCCACAGCAGGCACATCTATGGAGTTTTTCCACAACTGATATTCCTGAGTAGGTCAAACACATGGATGATCCCTTGTTTAGTGCTGGTTTGATTCAAGCCGTTTCCTTCCTCCCAGAGCGAGGCCTGCATCACTGTCTGCTCTACATTGCTTTCTAATTGGCCTTTTCCTCCCCACTGACTTCCAGAGATATCTCTCTTTTTCTGAATGAAAAAAATAATCTCCCTTGACTTTTTATGTAATGTATCCTTCCACATAACCTACTTTTTCCAGTTCAGAATCTTTTTTGATTTTCTCTCTTTTGTCTAGCAGCTGCCGGGGAAGGAGAATTGTGTGGTTTTCTGAAGGAAATGGAAAATAGTTTGATTTCTGGGTCCATTTGCTTTCCTTTTCAACATTGCTTGTTATTCTCAGTTGTCCAGAGTGTTCTTATTGCCATCCTCTTTTGTCTATAGGATTCAAAGAAAAGTGTAATGTTAATTATAAAATGGTTGCAGAAGATATGAGAAAAAGAAAAAAAGTATACAACAAAAAAGCAAAGATGTCACAATGCTAGAATAACCTCTTACATTGATCAATCATGAAATTCTCCTTGATTTGGGTCAAATTTTTAGCAGTGCGAAGGGTTATCATCAAATATATCTGGAACTGCTGGGGATAGATTATATAATTGTAGACACATGCATACAGAGGTAAATACAGATACATCCATACATATATAAATGGAGAAAATCAAATGCCCCAAAATGGTTACGGTCAAACCTTCTGAGCTTACTTTAGACATGTGGGGGCTTTAACTGATGAAATGATGCCTAAAGTCTCTGCAAGATTTGAGGTACCAGTTTTCCTCATGGAAGTCCTCAGCTCCAAATAAGGCCAGAAAACACCGTCCACAAACACTTTGGTGACATCCCAATTTAAGCAGTCCTCACTTACCAACCACAATTGGAACTGGTATCAACGTCACTAAACAACCCAATCATTAAGCATGATGTCACATGTCAGTGCCAACTTACATCTGTTCCTCTATAGTTCTTAAGCTAATTACTGTGTAATTAAGCTAATTACTATTTAAATTACAATTAAAATTACTTTAATTGCCTAATTAAAGGCAATTTCATATGACTGGGACATTTAATTTCCTGCCTGTATACCCATTGATTTTGCTTGTCAGAAGCTAGCGAATGTCACAAATTGGGAATATGAGTGTGGGATGCAGCAACCATCATAAATGTGCACCAGTTGACAGAACACAAATTGGTGTAACTCCTTTTCTTGCACCTTCATAATCACAGGAACTGCTGACGTGTGGTCACTGAACAATTGCTATGATGACCAGAAATTTGTGTGACTAGGTGTAAGTCTGCTTTTACACTGCCATTGCAATTTTGAAGGCCCAGGGAACAAATTGTAAATGAGGACTACCTATTCAACTGTACATCCCAAAGGTCCGCAATAGTTATTTTGCATGTCAGAATCTAGCTGGGAAGATCACAAATGGGAATCCCAAGTGTGGGATGCTGAAACCATCATATATTTACCCCACTGTGTAGTACCCAAATTGGTGCATCTCCTTTTTCTGCACTTTTTTAAAAATGCTGGGTTGAGAACACTTGAATCTGGCTAATACACGGATGGGGCAACAATAGGAAATACTGTGCTTGTTGGTGATACATGTAAGTAAAAAATCCCAGAAAACACCAGTACCAGATCAGTATAATATTGTTGCCACAAAAACAGCAAGTCCACAATAAAATAACAGAGTTGGACGGGAGCTTGGATGTCTTCTAGTCCAATCCCTTGCTCAGGCTGGAGATCCTATACCATTCTGGACAAATAGCTGTCCAATCTCATCTTAAACATTGCTGATGAATTTATCTGACAATATTGTCATTCAAAAGATAGACGAGAGAACTAGCAGGTCACCTATAATTATCTAAATTCTTACTAGCAGTGATGAAATGATAGAGGGGGTCAAAATGTCAGGAACTTTGGGGAAAGTGACCATGTCATATTGGAATTTAATACAATGCAGACACAAACAATAGAGCAAAATTAACCAAGCATCTTAGACTTTAAAAGAGGTGGTATCAACAAACTTAGAGATAGCTTGGGAAGGATTTTTAAAATCTTAAAGGGGAAACTCAAGACGCTTGAGAAACTTTGAAAAATATGGTTACAGAAGCCCAGTCCAACAATATTATTAAGAAATTAAAATAAAAAATCCAAAAGGAACGAGGATGGTTGCATAAAAAACTCTCTGATAAACTGAAAGACAAAAAGGATAAGTATAAAAAATGGAGGGACACATAACTATGGCAGAATACCAGTGTATAGTCCGAATCTGCAAAGATGAAATCAGGAAAGCTCATGCTCACAATGAGCTAAGACTTGCAACGAAACTCAAAGAAAATAACAAAAGTTTTTTTTAACATATAAGTTAACAAGTAAGAAGTCAAGGAAACAGTTCATCCACTAAGGAGAGAAGATGTCAAAGAAGTAACAGGCAGTAGAGACAAAGCAGAGCTGGTTATTTCATTCTTTGCATCTGACTTCACACAAAAAGAAAAACTAGCCCAATCTACAAAAAAACAGAACCCATAAAAGACAGACTAGCAAGAAAATGGTAAGAGAACACCTGTCCACTCTAGACTAGTTCTAAACACCAGGACCAGATTGAACATCCCAGAGTTCTGAAGGAGCTGGCAGACATGATCTCAAAAACATTGAATCATATCTTTCAAAGATCTTTGAGCACCAAGAAACTACCGGTGATCTGGGAAAGAGCTGATGTAGTTCTCTTGTTAAAAAAAAAAAAAGGGGGGGGGTTGAGAACCACAAAACTACAGACCAATCAGCCTGACATCAATACTGGGAAGATTGTGGAAAAGGTAACCAAACAACAGATTTGTAAATACCTAGAAACAAGCAAAGTTATAACCAGAAACCAACATGAGTTTGTCAAAAACAGATCATGCCAAACAATCTTATTTCATTCTTTGACAAAGTAACTAAATTAGTGGAATAATTAACCAGCCTCCAGGGGTTGATTGGCCAAGACGCACAGGCTTGCCGGCGTGAGAATCCTGATCCCCTATTGGTTACATAGTTTGACAGCTATAGTATAAATAGCTGTCAAACGCCCCAGTTGCCTTTCTATTTTACTTGAGCTGTTCGCATTACTGTTAGCTAATAAAGTGTTCCGTTGAACCCAGCCTAGTCTCGCCTCAGTTAATGGACCCCGGGTCGCCCTACAGAGCAGTGGGGGCTCCATCACTGGAAGGTTTTAAGAAAAGACTGGACAGCCATTTGTCTGAAGTGGTACTGGGTCTCCTGCTTGAGAAGGGAGTTGTACTAGAAGACCTGCAAGGTTCCTTCCAACCCTGTTACAAACCTCCAGTGATGGGAGCAGCCACAACCTTAACTTGAAAGAGACTTTAAATCTTCTCACCAGCAGAAAATAGCTGTCATCAGTGTTAAAGTGTGCAGTACAGCATGTAGCACCAGTGGGCTTAAATTTGGGGAGGGAAGGATCATGCTGCACCACCTGACATGGACACTAGTTGCTTCTCTGCTTCCAGGCCGTGGAAGGAACCAAACAGACCGACTTGCTCCCGAACTCTCCTCTCACCTGCCCTCAACTCACCTTTCAGCTGCTGCTTCGACCATGGGAAGAGCACAAAAGACACTCTGCACACCAACTTCCTCCCATTGAGTGATCTGGTAGAGGAAATTCCTCTGTGCTTCTCTTCTCACATCCTTTCTAGCAATACAGTACTCTATGGTTTTAACTCCTTAAACTCAACCACAGCCCCCCCCCCCTATTATATTATGGGGTTTTCAGGCACAGATGTTGCCTACCTGATCGCCACTTCCTGACAGAGGCAGAAAAACGCATCTGTTTGTCCCATATCTACCTAAGGCACTTGCAAGATGTTTCCACTATTAAATGCCATCAAGCCATTTTTGATTTCTTGGTACTGACTTTTGAGCCAAGTGAAACAGTGAAATGTGATGCTATTTAGCTTACGGAGATTAGGTGCTGAGCCCTAAAAGTTCATGAAGGTTTTACAGAATTGCAGAATAAGCTTTCCTAGGGGTGACTCTCAGCTGAAATCAATGCCTCTCTACATCTCAAATATTTGATTTCTCTGCTTGCTCAAACTTGCTCAGAGCCATGATAGTACAGTGGTCTAAGCACCCTGTTATTAACACAGCTGCCTGCAATTACTGCTGGTTCGAATCTCTCCAAGGCTCAAGGTTGACTCAGCTTTCCATCCTTTCTAAAGTAGGTGAAATGAGGACCCAGTTTGTGGGGGCAATAAGCTGACTTTGTATAAATATACAAAAGTATGAAGGCTATTGCTTAACGCATTGTAAGCTGCCCTGAGTCTCCAGAGAAGGGCGGCATATAAATAAAATTAAAATAAAAAAAACAAAAAAAAAAACAGGCAAAGATATACACATCCATTTAATGTATCTTGATTGTTTCTCCTCCCCTTCACTTCTCCTTTTCCTTCTTTTTCCCCTTCTCCTTCTCCTCTGCCACTCCTTCTCCCTCTCCACCATCCTTCCTCCTTCGTCTCCTAGTGTTACTAGAGAAGAGCAACCAGGATGATTAAGGTTGCAGGAACTGGGCATGGCTAGTCTAGTGAAGAGAAGGACCAGAGGAGACATGATAGCAGTCTTCCAATATTTGAGGGGCTGCCACAGAGAGGAAGGGGTCAATCTGTTTTCCAAAGCTCCTGAAGACAAGGAATAATGGATGGAAATCAAACGAGAGATTCAACTTAGAAATAAGGAGGAACTTTCTGACAGTGAGAGCAATCAAACAATGGAACAGATGTTGCCTTCGGAAGTGGTGGGAGTTTCATCACTGGAAGCTTTCAAGAAGAGACTGGACTGCCATCTGTCAAAAATGGTGTAGGGTCTCCTGCTTGGGCGAGGGGTTGGATTACATGACCTACAAGGTCCCTTCCAACTCTGTTAATCTGTTAATCTGATTTAATGCAGCTCCCAAGGATTTAGGACATTGCAGCAGCATCAGGCCAGATGCTCCAGGGGAGCCAGCTTGTTAAAATATTTAAATTAATAGCTGTGAAGGGTTAGTTAGACAATGAGTAAGAACACACAGTTATAGCTAGTTGGTTGAAGAGAGCTGGCTGCTGCATGAGGCAATCTAAGAGGAGATTGGTTGCTGTGAGTGTAAAGGGGGAGTTTCCTTGTTTCCCGCCTTTTTTCCTCTGTGTGTGTTGTCAGTAATTTACCTCATGATGTTTCTGCTGTGTTGATTTACCTGATGATGCCCCTATCTAGTTTACTGTATATATAATTGTAATATATAGCTGGATTTATTTAAAACTACAAGTTTGTGTCAGCATCTATGACTCCATTTGGAATCCGGCCTTGCAATTCCCTGACAGGTTATGGGCCCAGAAGCGCCCTGAAGAGCCAGAAGTAAACTTTTTCTGAGGTAAAAGTTTCTTTGTGAACCTCAGGGAGGTTGAGGATGATTGGTCTTTAAAGGCAGCTATGTGTTACAGGAATGGGAGGAGGGTTTCCTGTAGTTCCTCTTAAAGGAGATGAATTATCTCTCAGGGAACATAAAGATGGAGATGTTTCTGTAAAGGAAGGATTTGTGGACAGTTGTAAGCATCCTCCAGCAGATCTCAATGAGGAGGGGCAAAGGCAAAATGAGTAAGTACTAGCCAGCATCATTTTGTGCTTGGAAGATAGCCAGGTCATACATGGGCATGAATTTATGTTTGCTGGCTGGCCTTATGCAGAATTTATGTAAGAGAAATGGCAAATATCAAAGTGACTCTCACCAGAAAACTTTATAGAGCAAGGCTGAAGTCTGGAGAAAGTGTGTCAAATCACCCTCAGTTTATGAGGAAAATATTCCTTGAATTAGAAGAGCGAGGAATGGTGTTTTTAGAATTATACAAAGTGTATGTTGTGCTTAGTTCCCTTGATGATGTTTTGGACATGTTAGTAATAAGTCTTGAGTTAATGAACAAGTGTGATTTAACTATGACTTAGGAAACTGGGAGTCTTTTAGAAGAACAGAAAAGACTAGAGATAGGCGATAGTAATTTGCAACTCAGTCAGAAAAGAACTCCATTCCAGAGAGATAACATCAGTGGTGAAATCTAAATTTCTTTCCTACCGGTTCTGTGGATGTAGCTTGGTGGGGGTGGCTTGGTGGGGTCATGTGACTGGGTGGGCATGGCTATGTAACCATGTGACTGGGGGATCAAAAGACAGAAACTCACTAACAATGTCCTGCTGGAGCAGGGTTGGACTAGATGACCTCCAGGTCCCTTCCAGCCCTGGATTATCCTCTGAAGCTGAGTCTAGTGCCAGGTTTGTAGTCCTTCGCTTCCTCTCCTTTTTCCTTCCTCTTGGTATCTTCATCCCTCTTGGTATGGCTGCCAGTCCACTGGTCCCTCGCTCAGGCACCTCTACTGGCCTGTGTCATGTAGTGGAGTGGTGGTTAGTCTCTCAGAAAACAGGTCACGTGGTGGGGTGACGGTCACTTTTTTCCCAGCAAGCGGGTCCCGTGATGAGATGGTATTCATATGGCTGGTTTTTCTTTTTTTTCCTCCCTCCCTCCCTCCCTCCCTCCCTCCCTCCCTCCTTTCTTTCTTTCTTTCTTTCTTTCTTTCTTTCTTTCTTTCTTTCTTTCTTTCTTTCTTTCTTTCTTTCTTTCTTTCTTTCTTTCTCTCTCTCTCTCTTTCAAAAATGGACCCCACCCCTGTTTTTTGCCTCCCCTCCCCCTGTTTTTGGCCTAGAAGGCCAAGAAGGCATCAGGGAAGGCTTGGTTCTGGGGGGGGGGGAAGAAATTGTCCCCCTCAGAATGGGCTCGCAATTTGGGTGTCCTCCTAGACTCACAGCTAAGATTAGAGCAACATCTGACAGCTGTGACTAGGGGGACCTTTGCACAGGTTCGCCTGGTTTAGGTTTAGGTTTTATTAAATTTGTATACCGCCCTACTCCCAAAGGACTCAGGGTGGTGAACAGGCACAGGATAAAATACAGAAATACAAAAGTTAAAAACAATTTAAAACCAAATTAAATAATATTGGCCCACGACAATTAGAATCCCAATAAATTTAAAACAAATTAAAATTGCAATTTAAAATTTAAAAGAAAGACCCTACTTGGATCGGGAGGCTCTCCTCACAGTCACTCATGCCCTTGTCACCTCATGGTTAGATTATTGCAACACGCTCTACATGGGGCAACCCTTGAAAAGTGTTCGGAGACTACAGTTGGTCCAGAACGCAGCCGTGCGAGCTGTCGTGGGTGCACCTAAGTACACCCACATTACACCAATTATCCGTGAGCTGCACTGGCTCCCTATTGGTCTCCAGTCACAATTCAAGGTGTTGGTTATTACTTTTAAAGCCCTACATGGCTCAGGGCCAGGTTATCTACGAGACCGCCTTCTGCCGCATAGCTCCCAGCAACCGGTAAGATCCCGCAGAGTTGATCTCCTTCGGGTCCCATCAGCTAAACAATGCCAGCTGGTGGGCCCGCAGGGGAGGGCCTTCTCTGTGGCTGCCCCAGCTCTCTGGAACCAGTTACCTCCTGAGGTCCGGACCATCCCCACCCTATTGGCCTTCCGAAAAGCAGTGAAGACCTGGCTTTTCCAGCAGGCCTGGGGCCATTGATCTAGCTCTTTTGATCTGGCGAGATCCGGCCATGAATGGCATGAATGAGTTTTTAATGTTCTTAATGTTTTTAATTTTTAAATGTTTTTTATAATGATTTTTAAAATGTATTGTGAACCGCCCTGAGTCTTCGGAGAGGGGCGGCATATAAATTGAATTAATTAAATTAAATTAAATTAAAAATGGACCCCCCCCACTCCACCCCCGTAAAAAAAAGGTTTAAGTCTCTTCTAAATAGGATCTGTCTGCTGCAGACTTGAAATATGTTTTCCCCTCATCTCTTGATGCTGTTAATATGGCTCTGCACTACATCCTACAACATCTTGAATTTCCAAAGACCTACGCAAGGGTCCTCTTTGTAGACTTTAGTTCAGCATTCAATACCATCATTCCAGACATTCTCCTAACTAAGCTAAATCAGCTAGAGGTACCTGAACACACTTGTAAGTGTATCATAAGCTTCCTAACAAACAGGAAGCAGCAGATGAAGCTAAACAGAATCACATCAGATACCTGTACAATTAGCACAGGGCCCCCCCAAGGTTGTGTGCTCTCTCCACTTCTCTCTATATACCAATGACTGCATCTCTAACGATCCATCTGTTAAACTACTGAAGTTCACAGATGACACAACAGTGATCGATCTCATTTGAGACAATGATGAATCCACATACAGATGGGAGGTTGAACAACTAACCTCGTGGTGCGTCCGGAACAATCTGGAACTGAACACACTCAAAACTGTAGAAATAGTGGTAGACTTTAGGAGAAACCCTTCCATACTTCCACCTCTCACAATACTAGACAACACAGTATCAACAGTAGAGACCTTCAAATTTCTAGGTTCTACCATATCACAAGATCTAAAATGGACACTTAACATCAAAAATTCATCAAAAAAGCACAACAAAGAATGTTCTTTCTGCGCCAACTCAGAAAGCTCAAACTGGCCAAGGAGCAGCCGATACAGTTCTATGGGGAATTATTGAGTCTCTCACCTGCACCTCTATAACTGTCTGGTTTGGTTCTGCAACCCAACAAGACAGACACAGGCTTCAGAGGATAATTAGAACTGTAGAAAAAACAATTACTACCAACCTGCCTTCCATTAAGGACCTGTATACTGCATGAGTCAAAAAGAGGGCTGTGAAAATATTTACAGACCAGGGATGGGTTCCTCCCGGTTCAGCCCGGTTCCCGCAAGCCGGTAGCAGTGACAATATGACATCACCGAATCGGTTCTTTCCCCTAAATTTTTTGCCCTAAATTTCCCATTGTTTGCAGTTTTGCACCTACCTTTTTTGGTGAGGAAAAAGAAAAAGAAATCTCTCTCTGCCTCATTTTGTCACGTTGCAGCAAAGACCCTGCTTTCGCTTTCTCAGCATAGCTAGGGGAAAAAAAAATCTGCTCCAGGAAGTCTTTGCAGCTAGCAACAGAACAGAGCCCTGCGCAAAACAGCTGAGAGCAAATCAGCTGAGGGTGGGGAAGCCAAGCTAATCAACTTGTGCTAATTAACCTATGCGGCAGCTGTAAGGGGCTGTTTTTTCTATTTTTGCAGGCATCGGTCTACTCATTTGTTTTCTTTTAACACTGATCACCTGTAGGGCGGCCTTTTGAAGCCCCGCGGCAAGAGTTTAAACAGTTTTTTTCCCTCTAGCCATCAGCTGGGACTCAGGAGGCAGCCGGGACTCAGAAGGCAGAATGAAAAATCGGGACTTTTTTAAAACGCCGCGGGACGCGGGACAAATTGCTAAAAATCGGGACTGTCCCGCCAAAAGCGGGACATCTGGTCACCTTAGATTTAGGCTCTGCAAAAATGCAGATAGAAAGATAATATCTTTTATCTAGATGTGTTTTAGAAGCAAGGGGAGTGGATATTTTCAGTTATTGTTCAATGTTTCATTCTATTGAAAGGATGAAGCTGCATATCATAAGCGGCTGCGCACACAAACAAGACATTCATAAATGTTTATAGCACAACACCTCCTTAATCTTGAGAAGCTAAATAGGTCAAGGTTCACTCTTCCAGGTTCGCTCAGTTGCAAAAGTAGGTTTTGGGGATTATCCTGCACTCCCACTTCCCTGCAGTTTCCTTGGCAAAGTTTTTGGAAGTGGATTCCCACTTTCCTAGGCCTGAGAGGACAGGACAGGCCAAGATCTCCGAGATGGCTTTGTGCCTAAAGCAGGACTGGAACTGAGCATCTCTCAGGCTCTACCCTGGTGACTACCAGACTGGGCCTTCTTCCTCCCCACAAAATCTATCCATTCAGCTGTTCCTGCTACTCCAGCCCCAAAGTCAAGGCTGCAGCTTTCAAGATCCAGTACCCTCCAAACAATACCTACTTTACACCTGAGCTTCAAACTTTTGATTCTGAGGAAATGGACTGTTCCTCTGATTGGGAATGTATGGCTTTTGACCGCGCACTGTAGACCATCCCCTTTGACTCAGGTTGGCTTTATTTAATTTTGCTTGATATTTTTATATAGCCCTGTGAGAGATCCGGAGGTTTTGGGATCATTGCAAGGGTTTCCAACTTATCATGTATGAGACATGATAAAGATGTGCACTAAAATATGACACCAAGGAAAGAAAAAAGGAAGAATATATTTTTTAAAAATTTGATTTATATGCCGCCCTTCTCCGGAGACTCAGGGCGGCTTACAATGCACTCAGCAATAGCCTTCATTCTTTTGTATATTTATACAAAGTCAGCTTATTGCCCCCACAAACTGGGTCCTCAGTTTACCTACCTTAGAAAGGGTGGAAGGCTGAGTCAACCTTGAGCCTGGCGAGATTCGAACCTGCAGTAATTGCAGGCAGCTGGTCTTAATAACAGGGTGCTTTAGACCACTGTACTACCAAGGCTTCCTTGGTAGTTAAATATAATTTTACTATTTTAAAGTCTAAAATTTTTGCACATTAAATTCAAAGTCACTTGGACCTTGAGACCCAAGCCAAGAGTTTCTTGGTTTACCTTGCCTTGTCCAGGTTGTTTTGTGTCCTTTCTACAAAGGGTAACGTGACCTACTAAAAAAATTGAAACCTTTTTGAATTGTGTTGGTGAAATATACAATCTTTGAATTCTTTGCTGTCTTCTAATTGCAGCAAAATCAGGATCATTCATCTGCATAGCTAAAATATCACTTCCGCTGCTACAAATAATGTTCCTCTCTTTATTTGAAGGCATTTTTGAAAACAATTAAGGAGCCCTGGGATAGAACTGAAAGAACAGGAAACGTTTCCCATGTGTTGGGGAGAGAGCTTTTCATTACCTTGTCCCAATGTTTACAGAAATGCTGAGTTTCCTTTTTTTTTTCAAAAGCTATTTATCATTCTTATGCAATGCTATAGAAATAAAATAAATAAATAAATAAAAATGCTGTTTTAGAAATGAAAACATTATCTACTGTACAATCTGCTTTCTCCTTTATATGAGGAGCCATAATCTCTAACTAGTCTAAGTGCTCCTATCAGGAAGAGATGCTGCTTGGGGAATTCTGGGACTGAAATACTCAAGGATACACAGGGAGAGGAAGGCTGGGACTCTGCACATGGCATTTCTATCATCTATCATGATAAAAATGCAAAGAACACTCCCAGAAAGTTTACAGAATTGCACAATTTTTGCAAAAATAAATATCCAGCAACTTCTGCTGTTGATGGTCAGACAGCCATTACCAAGCTAATATGTTCCACTTGTTAATTTCCATCTTCCCGTCTAATACCACGACATTATTTGCTTACAAAAAACGGGGCAAATTCTTTGCAACTACAAAGAATTAAAATAGTCAATTTCTCAGCTGGACTTACAATGGGACATTCGAAATGAAATTCAAGCTTTCTCTACGCTCATCACTTTGGGCCTCAGGTGGATTTTCTTGTGTGCGATAAGGGTGGACTGCTTCCTGAAGCACCGTCCACACTTGGGGCACTTAAATGGCTTCTCCCCTATGTGTATAAGCACATGATTTATAAGATTAGACTTAGTATTGAAATCTTTCCCACAGTCTGGACACTCGTATGGTTTCTCTCCCGTGTGAGTCCTCTGGTGTCTTATCAGGCTGGAATTCTGACTGAAATTTTTCCCACAATCAGGACATTCAAAGGGTTTCTCCCCTGTGTGAGTCCTCTGGTGTGGAACGAGGTTGGAACTCTGACTGAAACTTTTTCCACAATCAGGACATTCAAAGGGTTTCTCCCCTGTGTGAGTCCTCTGGTGTGGAATGAGGTGGGAACTCTGACTGAAACTTTTTCCACAATCAGAACATTCAAAGGGTTTCTCTCCTGTGTGAGTCCTCTGGTGTTTCACCAGCCTGGAATTCTTACTGAAACTTTTCTCACAATCAGGACACTGAAAGGGTTTCTCTCCTGTGTGAGTCCTCTGGTGTCTCACAAGGTGGGAATTAGTAATGAAACTTTTCCCACAATCAGGACATTCAAAGGGTTTCTCTCCTGTGTGAGTCCTCTGGTGTCTCATGAGGTGGGAATTTCTACTGAAACTTTTTCCACAATCAGGACATTCAAATGGTTTCTCTCCTGTGTGTGTCTTCTGGTGGCTAATAAGGTGGGAATTTTTAGTGAAACTTTTCCCACAGATAGGACATTCAAAAGGTTTCTCTCCTGTGTGAGTCCTCTGTTGCCTCATGAGGTGGGGATTTCCCAATAAACTTTCACACAATCTAGACATTCCTATGGGGTGAGTCCTCTGATGCATCACCACATTGCCATTCTCACTAAAGTATTTACCACATTGGGAGAACTTTTATGGTTTCTCTCCTGTGTGGGTCCTTCCATGTAGCACAAGTAAGCTATTCTGCCCAAAGATTTTGCCAAATTCAGAGTATCTGTATGGCTTTCCTCCAGAATGGATTCTCTCAGGTAAAATCAGCTGTGTTTTGCAAGTTATATCTTTCCCACAATAGGCACATCTATGGAACTTTTCCACTATTGATATTCCTGTGGAATTCAAAAATATGTATGATCCCTTGTTTAGCTGTGCTTTGATTCAAGCCATTTAATTCCTCTCAGAGCAAGGTCTGCATTATTGTCCGCCCTATGTGGTTTTCCAAATGACATTTTCCTCCCCACGGACTTCCAGATATTTCTCTCTTTTACTGAATAAAAATATTCTCCCTTGACTTTTCATGTGATGTATCCTTGAGTTCCGTATGCTCTACTTATTCCAGCTTGACATCTTTCTTAATTTTCTCTCTTTTGTCTATCAGCTGCTGGAGAAGGAGAATTTTGTGGGTTTCTGAAAGAAATGGAAAACATTTTGATGTCTTGCTTTATTTTCTTTCCTTTTCAACGTTGCTTGTTATTTTCAGTTGTCCAGAGTGCTCTTATTGCAATATGTCTACAAGATTCAAAGAAAAGTTTAATTTTAATTGTGCATAAATGGTTGCAGATGTGGAAAAAAACAAATATATATATATATATAATGTATTTTTCGGAGTATAAGACACACTGGAGTATAAGACGCACCTTAGTTTTTGTGGAAGAAAATAAGAAAAAAGCTGATTGGCAGGTGGATCTGCCTCCCGGAAACCCCCAATCAGCTGTTCCGAGAAGTGAATTTTAGCAACAGGTTCCTTGGTTGTGAGCTTTGTGCCTTGCTTTTTTTTTTTTTTCTCTGCCTCTGAAACTTCTGAAACTCTGTTTCAGAAAAAACTTTTTTTCCTGCCTCTGAAAGCCTCCAAAACAGAGCTTCAGAAAAAAAGCCTCTGAAGCTCTGTTTGGGGGCTTCTTTTCTGAAGCTTCGTTTCTGATGCTTTTTTCAGCCTCTGAAACCTCCATTTGAGAAGCTGGGTGGGGTTCCATTCGGAGTATAAGATGCACCCATATTTTCACCTTCTTTTTTAGGGGAAAAAGGTGCATCTTATACTCTGAAAAATATGGTATATAAATATTACATATATAATAATGAAAAAGCAAGCATGTCACAATGATAGAGTAACCTTTTACATTAATTATGATTCATTTGACACATGGAAGACTACTGAGATCCAAGTTAAAATATCCATTCAATCATAAAATTCTCTCATTCACTTGGGTCTATCAAAATTTCTTAGCACTGCAAAGAGTTAGTATCAAATACACCTGAAAGTGCTAGGGATAGATTATACAATTGTAGATATATGCATACAGAAAGAAATATAAATACACACACCTATAACTGTATGTACATGGAAAATTGATGTTTTTCAAGCCTGAAAAAAAATGTCCTATAATGGTTACAGACAAACTTTCTGAGCTAATTTGAGAGATGTGGGGCTTTAATTGATGAAATGTTGCCTAAGGCCTCTGCAAGTTTTAAAGCACCCGCTAAAAGCACCTATTTTGCTCATGGAAGTCCTCAGCTCCAAATAAGGGCAGAAGATACTGTTCACAAATACTCTGGTGTCATCCCAAAGCCTGCCGGCCTCTTGGCAGAGCACAAATACCGGTAAGTCTGAGCATGGAGGCAGAGGCAGGGGGGAAGACAGGCGATCCAGAGGTGCTTCACAGCTGCCTGACTCATGGGAGGCTTGCGCAGTGGCACTGACAGCAGGCAGAGGCATTGGGGAGGCAGGAGATCCTGACATCCCACTGGGATGCCTGGTCAGCGCAGCCACAGGCAAGCCGAGAGACAGTGGGAAGAGTGGGCAGCATGTTGGTATCGCCTCTGCCTCCACCTGTTCTGCTGCGCACTTTTCACCCAGAGGAAGATGATGCTTCCTCTGCTTGCAAAGGAGATGCTTTGAAATGGAGCTAATCATTCCGTTTCAAACCGTCCACTTTGCAAGCACACAAAGCTTTGAGTCTCCATCATTTCTCTGTCCGGGCGAAAAGTGTTTGGTCGCCTATGGGGTGAGTTGGAATGGAGCAAATTGCAGGGGTTGAGGTTTCTTTGCACTATGCAGAGCGCTTTCACTCTCTCTGTCTCTGTCTCTTTTCTCAGCACTTCCTTAATGTGCTGGGTCTTTGGCTTGTTTTGCTGGAAGGCTGTTAGGATTCTCTCTACTCCCCCATTTCCTTCCCACTTCCTTAGGAACAGAAAGTCACTGGTGTAATCTGGAAGAGAAACATCATGCTCAGCTATTGAAAAGTGCAGGCAGTTGTCATTCACACCTCTTTCTGCTTCCTTGTGTCTTTAATTGGGGGTTTCCTCTGGAACAGAAGCAGAGAGCCTCTTCAAGTGAAGGTTTCTCTGTCTCTTCTGATTTTCACCCTGGAGCAAAAGAAAGGCTAATTTAGTGAAGGCTTCCCTGTGTGTCATCCTGGTATCATTCCCACTCCTCCCCTCCCCATGGAAAACTTGTCTTTCATGAAACTGGTCCCAGGTGTGAAAACGTTTGGGGACCACTTGGGATAGATAGCATCACCATCAGATGGTTTTGCAATTGGTAGCAAACCACATTCAATGGTTAGTCCTTAATGGAACTACATCTATATGGAGGGAAGTAAGCAGCAGGGTACCCCAAGGCTCTATTTTAGGCTCACTATTCTTCAATATTTTCATAAACAATTTAGATGAGGGAACAGGAGGGGAACTCATGAAATTTGGAGATGACACTAAGCTGGAAGGAATAGCCAACACCCCAGAAAACAAGCTCAAGATACAGAAGAATCTCGATAGACTTGAATACTGGGCCCTATGCAACAAAATGAAATTCAATGGAGGGGAAAAAAATGGTTTTGCTCTTAACCAAGAAAAAGCAAATGTCAAGGTACAGAATAGGTGGAACATGGCTCAATAGCAGTAACTGCGAGAGGTTACATATTTTATATGATGTGTTATGAATATATCAAAAATATAACACAAGTTATGAATATAGAGGGCCTGTAAGACAACCATTGTTAACCATTTTATGAGCTCACTGGGAAACTCAACGTTGCTGGAATGTGTGTTCTACTGATAAGAAAAGATTCTGAGTGCATGTGTGAATGATTTATTGTTGGTGATACCAGGTAGAACATTAATGGGCGTAAGGAGTGTAGTGGATTGCACTTTTCATGGAGTCTTGGAACAAAGCGTGAGGATGTAAAGTTCCTGATGTGGCTGGGGCAAAATTTACACATGGATTCTGAGTAAACAAGTTGGGTATAAAGGGAAGACTGGAATGAATCCAGACCCTGAAGTTTCCTAACAGTGAGAACAGTTAACCAGTAGAATCGTTTGCCTTTAGAACAGTGGTTCTCAACCTTCCTAATGCCACGACCCTTTAATACAGTTCCTCATGTTGTGGTGACCCCCAACCATAAAATTATTCCTAAAACCATTGAAAATATGTCTTTCCCGATGATTTTAGGCGACCCCTAGGAAAGGGTCGTTCGACCCCCAGAGGGGTCCCGACCCACAGGTTGAGAACCACTGCTTTAGAAGTTGTGCTCCATCACTGCAGGCTTTTAAACAGAGACAGGACAGCCATTTATCTGAAATGATATTAAGACCTCCAAGATTTTTTCCAGCTCTATTACTCTGCTACAGACGTTCAGTGATGAGATGCTTGAATTATCTAGGACCAGAGTGTTTAGTATATTTAATTGGTTTTTTATTAACGTTTGTATTACATGTATTTTTATTGTTCGCTGTTCACCGCCCTGAGTCCCTTAGGAATAGGGCGGTATATAAATTTATTTATTTATTTATTTATTTATTTATTTATTTAATATATATATATATATATATATATATATATATATATATATATATATATATATATATATATATATATATATATATATAAAAAATAATAAATGGAGCACCCACAACTGGAGGGAAGCCATTCCCAAAGAATCAACCCTGTCTTGAAAGAGACTTTTTAAATCTTCCCACGAGCAGAAAATTGCAGTGTTAAAGTGTTTAATTTTGGGCAGGCTTAAATTTGGGCAGGGAAAGAACATGCAGCACAGCAGCTGACATGCTTCAGCCTAGTTGCTTCTCTGCTCACACATCCTGGAGGAAACCAAACAGCCCGACTTGCTCCCAGCCTCTCCTACGATCTGCCCTCCACTCACCTTCCAGCTGCTGTTTTAATCTTGGGAAAAGAACAAAAGCCACTTGACAGATCACCTTCTGCCCATGAGTGATCCGGAAGAGGAGGTTTCTCTGCCCTTCTCCTCTCCTCCCATCTTTTCTAGCAATGCAGTACTCGATGGTTTTAACTCCTTTAAGTTCAACCACAGACGCTGCCTACCGCAGAGGTCTTCAAACTTGGCCGCTTTAAGACTTGTGGACTTCAACTCCCAGAATTCTCCAGCCAGCATAGTGTGTCACTAAGCAGTGAAGGAAATGAATAATAAGTTACTCTTTTAAAGAAGTGTTTAATGTAGTAAAAAGCTATGATGTTCTTACTGTTGCAAACTTACCACAAATTGTAATTAGTAGAGACAATGTGTTATGACTTGCTAAAAGCTCCCTTGGAGACAGGAACCTATGCTTTGGGCAAGACCACCATCAGTAAGAAAGGAACATCCGCTCAAGGTGAAAATTAAAAGTAAACATGATAAGATAGTTGTTGTTAGGCAGGAAATGGCAAGATGACCCTTTAAAGTGTAAAACAACTTGGAGAATGACGTAGGAGAATAAAGGAGAGTTGGAAGGGCTTCTTAGGCATGGCGTGCAATGTGCAGAAGTATAAAATGTGCAGCTTGAAAACTGCTTTTTGCGCTCTTTGAACTCAATCCGCTTGGGTAGGATCTAAGAGGCTGCGCTTGCAACCGCTTTTTATTTTTCTTCATTTTATCTCCAATAAATCTTTGATTTTGTGAACCAGACTTGTTTATGAATTGTGAGGATTAAAATATTTGGATCTTATATCTCACAGCAGCTTAATCATAAACATGATGCCACATGACAGTGCCAACTTACATCTATTTCTCTGCAGTTGTTAAACAAATCACTGGGTTGTTAAAGGCAACTTCAGATTTGTGCGACTTGCAATTCCCACTGATTTTTTTTTTTGTCAGATGATACCTGAGAAGGTCACAAATGGGGATCATGAGCATGTTGCAACCATCATATATGTGCACCAGTTGACAGAACCCAAATTGGTGCATCTCCTTTTCCTGCACCTTCATAACCACAGGAATTGCTGACCTGCGGTCACTGAACAAGTGCTACTATGACCATAAAATTGTGGACCAGGTGTATGTCTTCTTTTATAGTGCCATGGTAACTTTGAAGGCTCAGGGAACAAGTGGTAAGTAAGAACTATCTATACAACTGAACAATCTCAAACAGTCCGCAATAGCTATTTTTTAAAAAGTGCTTGGTTAAGCACAGTTGAACCTGGTTAGTACACAGATGGGGCACACATAATGAATACTATGCTTTTTGGCTAGATATGAAAGTAAAAAATCCCAGAAGAGACGAGTGGCACATCAGTCCAATTTTGTTGCCAAAAAAACTGTAGGTCCATACCAGAATAGAATAAAATAGAATTCTTTATTGGCCAAGTGTGATTGGACACACAAGGAATTTGTCTTTGGTGCATATGCTCTCAGTGTACATAAAAGACAAGATACATTTGTCAGGAATCATAAGGTACACACTTAATAATAGTCATAGGGTACAAATAAGCAATCAAATCATACTAGGAAACAATATAAATCGTAAGGATACAAGCAACAAAGTTACAGTCATGCAGTCATAAGTGGGAGGTGATGGGTGATAGGAACAAATACAGGTAGTCCACAAGATATGACCATAATGGAGACTGCCTATTATGGTTGTAAGCTGCAAAAGTCATTAATTGAAACAGCCTCAATTAACGACCCCATTGTTTGCTCTCCCTGATGTAAACATTAAACAAACGGGAGAGTCATTAAATGGAACACTGTGTGCTTTGGAGGGGGGGGGGAGGCCTTCAGAGACTTACTCAGGGTGAGGGTTCCCTGCCCCGGCCTCCCAAGGCTATCCACATCCCCTGAAGCACCCTGTGTTCCACTTTTCCTTGGATACCTGCAGTCCTTTAGCTTCCTTTCTACCCAGCAATTAAGGAGAGATGAGAGTGCACAGCGTTTGCATCACACCAGCATGGAAAGCAGATGGGGCAGTCGGAGTTTGAAAACTCCAACAATCAAAGGGAGATCCCATCCAAGAACTTGCAGGATTCAAGCCTGTTCTCGGGCCCAACAATACCTAATTTACCTTTCTGTTGTTTCAGTTCTGAAGAAGCACCAAGTCCCACAGGATCAGTTCCTTACAGAGCCTCATGGCAAACTCCTCTGAGTCTTGTAGTCTGGTGATACTGGTTTTTTTTTTTTTAAAGGTGCCTCCATTTTTTAAGGAGGTTCCACAAAGTGCACAAACAATTGAAGCCTCCTTAGATTCTGTCTGATTCTGACAAAAGGAAAGCTCCCCCCACCCCCCTAGTGCACGTTCCTGACCAAAAGGCTGGCAAGTACTTATACACATACTTATGTACGTTTCTGTCCATACAAAAACCACCATGGGATGATTGCTAAGGCTCTCATCAAGGCAATCAGTTCAGCCTTTTGGTCTGAGGTTTCGGCAGGAAGGGCTGCTGCTTCTAATGCTTGGTCCAAAGTTTTGTCTGGTGTTATTGTTCTGACCCAGCTTTTGCAAGCGATGAGAAACCACTTACTCACATGTAAAACTACCCCCTTTTTAAAACAGGACAGGAACAGTCTTTATTCATGTTGGATAGACAAAACCAAAGATAGTTGCAAATGAAAGTCTTTTCCCCTTCTGAAACAGGGCACAAACAGTCTATAATCACATGAGAACTAAAAAGTCCTTCAATAATTAAGCCAAGCAGAAACAGTCCCTGTTCACACCAGCAAATTCACTATCTATTTTTTCCCAGCAGGGAGACTCAATTGGCACCTCAAATACAGAACAATCAGTCCCGACAAATCTGGTTCTGGCATAGGGTTGCCAGATCTGCTTCCAAAAAATAGCGGACAAGCGGGTGGAGGGTGGGGGGTGGAGTTAAGTAGTAAAAAAATTTAAAAAATTACAATTAAATTATATATACGTGTTGGAACATGGCGCAAAACTTCATGGAATTCTGACTCGCAAAACTCAAAAAATGATTTCAACTCTTCTCGTTTCTTCGCAGAATTCGAAAATTCGGCAAAAACCTTCAGCACTACATTTTCGATATCAAAAGATAACTGCTTGAATGCATTTTTTGCGCTGTTGTGTAAAATGTGATTATTGCAATGAGCATTCGATCTTTGTCTCATTCTAACATGAAAAAAAAGACAAAACGCGATTCTCCTATCCTTATTCTCTTAGACTGTACAGCTTTACCATTTCATCATAAAGCTTTTGAATAAAAAAAATGTCCACTATTTTGTGAAAAAAAATAGTGAACATAATGTGAAAAAAGTGGACTGTCCGCTCAAATAGTGGACACCTGGCAACCCTAATTCTGGCAAAGGAATCCCACTTGATGTACATTGGAAAATGAATGGTTGTCTGTGACCACAGGCCACTCCGAAACCTCTACTATTTATTTCCCAGCCAGGGAGGGGGCTGGCTAGTGTCTACGTTTCCTTTTCTCTGAGAGCCAGTTTATTGCCTTCTGTTGCTCTCCACTCCTCTCCTCTGTGCATCTGAGATGGGCCCCATCTGTTCTTCCTCCTCACTCAGCTCAGGCCCTGAAGACAGCTGCCTCTCCACCTGGGGGCGGACAGAAGGTCCCGGCTCTGCATCTGCCTCTGATTCTGCTTCCTCATCAGAGCCTTCCAAAGGCTCCGAAACTGGCCCAGGTTCCCCCTCCACCACCTCTGATACTGCTGCTAGCTTTGCTGGCAGCCAATGGGCCACAACAGTTGTGTGTGGTTAACAAAACCATTCTGGCTTCAGTTATGTTACAGGAGAATTACTATGATGAGAATTGAAGAGAAAGATTGCTGTACAATAAAAAAGATGAAAGGGAAGAAAGCCAACACCAAACAAATATAAAGATATTAAGATAAAGAATGAATTGTTAAACTTTAAAGAATAAAAGAGAACAAATAGGAATAAATAGCAATAATTAGAAACACACATACAAACATACAATGTATTTTCTTTGAACAGAGTACTTGGCCGGTTCACAAATTTAACCAGTGTTTAGTCATTTCAATTAAATTTACAATTTCTATATTTTCTTTTTGCCATATTTATTCCTCATCTATTTTTTAAAAAACCAATATTACTCTTCATCCTCATCTCTAATCTTAATCAAATTCAATTTTTCCCTTCTATATTATACCCCTTCCTATTGTCATCTATTTTTATATCCATCCTCACATTGGTTAATTATGTAATTATGTAATACAGTTGTTTAATACAAATTCTTTGAACAGAGTATTTGGCCGGTTCACAAATTTAAACAGTTGAAGGAGGTTAGCACCCAACCCTTTCCTAGAAGAATGAAATATTAAAAAGGCAGAATATTATATTTTCCTGGATGAGAAATGGAGAAGCATATTTTACAGACAAAGCAGCTCCCACCTTCCTGGCCCCCACCCTTTGTTAATGGGCCAGAGGCAGAAAGTCAATCCTTTGTCAAAGGACATTTGCAACACAATAGCAACAGAAACTAACACAATGGGCCCCATCGAGCCATGTGATCCTGTCCACCATTAAAACATCTTTCCAAGCAGTCTCCATGTTTCCAGTGTCTTTTTCCCCACTTGGAGCAGAACCCAGAAGGATATTTCTTCCAACACAGTATTTAGTCATTTCAATTAAATTTACAATTTCTATATTTCCTTTTTACCATATTTATTCCTCATCTATTTTTTAAAAAAACTAATATTACCCTTCATCCTCATCTCTAATCTTAATCAAATTCAATTTTTCCCTTCTATTCTATATTATACCCCTTCGCATTGTCATCTATTTTTATATCCATCCTCACATTGGTTAATTATGTAATACAGTTGTTTAATACAAATTCAACATTTTAATATAAATCAATTAGTTATATAACTATCTTTTTTGTATATTTATCAATATGAACATGAATATTCCAATTATTTCCATGCAATCCAATTTCTTACAAATCAATTAATTATATTTACCAATAATAATAAACCAAATAATTTCCCCCATATATTCCTCCAAACCACAACTTAACCATTTCTGCTTTCAACACAATATACAATTAATAATATCTCAATTATTACAATTCCCTAGTTAAATAGAGCTTTTTTTCTTTGGTGTTTTAAAATCTTGAACCTCCTCTTGCCCTAAATTTCCCATTGTTTGCAGTTTTGTACCTACCTTTTTTGGTGAGGAAAAAGAAAAAGAAATCTCTCTGCCTCATTTTGTCACGTTGCACCAAAGACCCTGCTTTCGCTTTATCTTTTCAGCATAGGTAGGGGGAAAAAAATCTGCTCCAGGAATTTACCTCTTTGCAGCTAGCTCTTTGAAGCCCCGCGGCAAGAATTTAAAGTTTTTTTCCCCTCTAGCCATCAGCTGGGACTCCGGAGGCAGCAATAGATTGGGAGTGGGCGGGGTAAGCGAACGGCGACCGGGCGATCCAACAAAGGCAGAGGGTGAGGGTGAGTGAAGGCGTGGGGGGGGCGAGAGAGGGCTTTGGCAACCCCTGTGAAATGGCCGTTCGATCCCCAAAGGGGTCGCGACCCCCAGGTTGAGAACCGCTGTTCTAAATAGACAAATTATTAAGAAAAATCAGTTAAGGAGTAGAGTTTTAGAAGATGGTGAGAGAGGAAGTACTCTGAAGAAGCAGACTGATTCTCAATGAATATTCACTTTGCTTCTATCGAAACAATTATGTACAATTTACTGCAAAAATCAAAGGATGGATATAAATGATTTAGTTGCAAATCAGGGACATTTTTAACATATAGTTTTTATATTTTTAAACATAACCTTAATAGGTTACAGTATATTCATGCTAACTTAATTACCTTTACTTCCCACTGAAAATAATGGAAATGTTAAATCATGACATTTACTTTATTTACATTTTGAAGATGTTACTTTTTTGAAGATCTCCAGAGGTCCATAAGAGGCTGACCCATTGGGAGAGAAGCCAAAGTGTTTTATTCAGATGGTGGTGAAGCTGTAAGAACGTGAAATTTAAGGAAAACATTTTCACCAGCTTCTGAGTTAAAGACTTGGCTGAGCCATGTGGCTAGCAGACCTAGGCCTGGACTGGGCCACAGCAGCCTCCTGCTTCAGGGATTGAGGCAGCAGCAGCCAATGAAAAGGGAAGTTGCTTCCTTTGTCTCATCAGGCTGAACTGCAAGGCCCTTGTTGATTGGCTGCCACGCCCCAATCCCTGAAGCTGCTCATTTGAACTAGCTAGTCAGCAACAAGCAGATTGGGTCCAAACTAAGCCTACAGGCCCTCATGGCAGAGAAGCCAAAGTCTTTTATTCAGATGGGGAAAGCTGTTTTCCTTATATCTCATGTTCTTACAGCTTCACCAGCTTCTGAATAAAAGACTTTGGCTTCTCTGCCACATGGCTCAGCCTCTTCTATAGCTCTTCGAAAAGTAAGTAAAGCTACGAAATGGGGTGGGGAGGGTGGATTGGGCCCAGAGACACTCCATTTCAGCCTGTAGGAGGCCAGGAGAGCCCTAGAAAGTCCCAGACGGGGCCTAGGGGGGCGGATTGGGCCCTGGGATCCTCCATTTCAGCCTGTAATAATAATAATAATAATAATAATAATAATAATAATAATAATAATAATAATAATAATAATAATAATAATAATTTTATTTCTATACCACCCTTCTCCCGAAGGACTCAGGGCGGTGTACAGCCTATTTAAAAACACAAGACAAAACATCAATTAAAATTTAAAATGATTAAATAAATTTGGCTCAATTAAAACCCCAAAATTTAAAATACCCCAATTTAAAACTATTATGTTGATAGCCCGACCTGGCGGAACAACAGGGTCTTCAGTGCACAGCGAAACACCCGGAGGTCGGAGATCTTACGTATTTCCGGGGGCAGTTCATTCCACAGGGCTGGGGCTCCCACAGAGAAGGCCCTCCCCCTGGGCGCCGCTAGCCGACATAACTTGGCCGATGGGACCCTGAGGAGACCCTCTCTGTGGGAGCGGACTGGTCGGTGGGAGGCTATTGGTGGCAGAAGACGGTCTCGAAGGTACCCGGGTCCTATGCCATGGAGCGCTTTAAAGGTGGTAACCAACACCTTGAATCGCACCTGGAAGACCACTGGGAGCCAGTGCAGCTCGCGCAGGAGGGGTGTCACGTGGGCACAACAAGTTGCGCCCATAACCACCCGCACGGCCGCATTCTGGACCAGCTGGAGCTTCTGAGTACTTTTCAAGGGGAGCCCCATGTAGAGAGCATTACAATAGTCCAGCCGGGAGGTAACAAGGGAGTGAGTGACCGTGCGCAGGGCGTCCCAGTCCAGAAAGGGCTGCAACTGGCGGATCAGGCGAACCTGATAAAAGGCCCCCCTGGCCACGGCCGTCATATGCTCTTCTAAAGACAGCCGTGCGTCCAGGAGGACACCCAGATTGCGAGCCCTCTCCGTGGGGGGCAAAGATTCACCCCCAATAGTCAGCGATGGCACCTGCTGACTATATCAGGGCACCGGAAGCCACAGCCACTGGGTCTTGGAGGGGTTGAGTCTGAGCCTGTTCCTCCCCATCCAGACCCGCACGGCCTCCAGGCAGCGAGACATCACATCAAGGGCATCGTTGGGGTGGTCCGGGGTGGAGATGTACAGGGAGATGTAAGGGCTAGGGGAGCTCTAGGAAGGCCCTGTAGCAGGCCATTCGCACAAGCAAAGAGGCAAAGGAAGGCTCACCAGACAGGCAGGTAACTGGCCCATGCGGAAGGCTGGGGTGAAGGCATGCAAGTGGGTTGGGCTGCGGGGGCCACATGGTCGAGGCAAGAGAGCTAGCGAATGAGGGAGCCAGAGAACAGCTGATTTGCCATGGCCAAGGTGGGTGAGGCAAGATAAGGACTGGGAGGGGGTGGGCGGGGCCAGCCAGTGGTGCGATTAACCGGTTCTCCGAACTGCGCAAAAATTTAACAACCAGTTCATCCGAACCAGCTGAAACCCACCTCTGCCTAAAAGCCCTGATCGTCAAAGAGCCAATGCTGAAACATCCAGATCTTGACCAAGTCTTTGTAGTCGAGGCGAACGAATGGGGAAGCTACAGCTGTGTGCGTACACCTCCCGGAAACTCATAGAAACCGAATGGCATTGGGCTATCTGGGAGGAGGCTTTCGCGGTCCAGTGGCCCCTCATGACATGGCGCCTTCTCCTGTAGGGGAGTAAAGTGCCATTTTACATTTTACTCGGGAGATACAGAGGATCCCGGATCTGCGCATTTTCCGCCGCGCCCTCAAAACATTCTTATTCCAGCAGGCTGGTCTGGCCTAACCTCCCTTTTTAATTGTTTTTAAATTAGTTTTATAATTGGGGTGTTTTAAATCTGGCCAAAGTATTTAATGTATTTTAAATGGTTTTTAACATTTGTATTATGTATATTTTACTTTCTGGCTGTTCACCGCCCTGAGTCCTTCGGGAGTAGGGCGGTATATAAATTTAATTATAAATAAATAAATAAAATAAATTTGAGGTGTGGACAGACCATAAAAACCTCAAGGCACTCCAAGCCCCACGGCATCACCGAAACAGGTGCAGTGGGCACAGTACTTACAATGTTTTTGTTTCAACTTGAAGTACATCCCTGGGGGAAGGAACTTCCTGGTGGACGTGTTATCTAGGATGCCACTGTACAACAATCACAGAGAGGAGGTGGTGGACACCATAATTCCCCCTTCAGCACAACAGGCTGCACAGATCTCAGCCTGGTGACCGGTTGAGAATTCAGACAAATTGATCTGTTGGTTACAGACTGAACTGCTAACGGACCCTTTGTTTTTGGACCACTGGACCCTGCTCACCCATCGGGATGGGGTGGCATGGAACAGCAGTAAATGGTATGTGCCCTACTCCCTGAGGTCGCAAGTGCTACAGAGGTGCCATGACATAAAACAGGCGAGGCACTTCGGTTTCCTAAAAACCCTGCATTTGGCCAAGAGAGTTCTGGTGACCCAGGATGCCACACGACATAAGGGACTACATCAACAGTTGCCCGGTCTGTGCGACCGCAAAACCCCATATAAAGAAACCACCTGGCCTCCTACATTCCATGGTCAACCCAATCCAGCGATGGGAGGAAATAGCTATGGACTTCATTGTGGAACTACCGGAGACCAATGGCCAGACCATCATATGAACAGTTGTCGACTCCCATGTGAGTCTTCTAATATGATACCAAGTGGGAATTCCATCTGAAACTTTTGCCACACTCAGGACATACATATAGTTCTGTGATGGCGAACCTATGGCGAGTGTGCCAGAGCTGGCACGCAGCGCCCTCTCTGATGGCATGTGAGCTGTCACCCCAGCTTAGCTCCGCTGCACATGCACGCATGCCTCCCACTGCCCAGCTGGTGTTCAGGTTGTATGCGCATGGGGGTTCGGGCGCACTTTGGGCACTCGGTCTAGAAAAAATTAGCCATTACTGATATAGTTTCTCCAGGGTATGAGTCCTCTGGTGTGTCACCAGACTGGCATTCTTACTGAACCTTTTCTTACACTCTGGACATTCATACAATTTGTCCTGGGAATGAGTCCTCTGATGTGTCACCAGGTGGGAATTCTGACTGAAACTTTTGCAACAATCTGGACATTCATATGGTTTGTCCCCTGTGTGAGTCCTCTGGTGTATCACCATGGTGCACTTATGACTGAAACTTTTCCCACACTCTGGGCACTCATATGGTTTCTCTCCTGTGTGTGTCCTCTGGTGTGTCACGAGTCTGGAATTATGACTGAAACTTTTGCAACACTCTGGACACACATATGGTTTGTCTCCCGTGTGAGTCCTCTGGTGTGTCACCAGGTTGGAATTCTGACTGAAACTTTTGCAACAATCTGGACATTCATACAGTTTGCCCCCTGTGTGAGTCCTCTGGTGTGTCACCAGGGTGCACTTATGACTGAACCTTTTCCCACACTCTGGACACTCATACGGTTTCTCTCTTGTGTGAGTCCTCTGATGTGTCATGAGGCTGGCATTATTACTGAACCTTTTCTTACACTCTGGACATTCATACAATTTGTCCTGGGAATGAGTCCTCTGGTGTGTCACCAGGTTGGAATTTCGACTGAAACTTTTGCAACAATCTGGACATTCATACGGTTTGTCCCCAGTGTGAGTCCTCTGGTGTGTCACCAGGCTGCACTTATGACTGAAACTTTTCCCACACACTGGACACTCAAACGGTTTCTCTCCCGTGTGAGTCCTCTGGTGTGTCACCAGGTTGGAATTTCTACTGAAATATTTCCCACACTCTGGACATTCATATGGTTTTTCTCCTGTGTGAATCCTCTGGTGTGTCACCAGGCTGGCATTATTACTGAACCTTTTCCCACACTCTGGACACTCATATGGTTTCTCTCCTGTGTGAGTCTTCTGATGTGATACCAAATGGGAATTCCATCTGAAACTTTTCCCACACTCTGGACACTCATACGATTTCTCTCCTTTGTGAGTCCTCTGGTGTGTCACCAGGCTGGCATTATTACTGAACCTTTTCTTACACTCTGGACATTCATACAATTTGCCCTGAGAATGAGTCCTCTGGTGTGTCACAAGGCTAGAATTCTGACTGAAACTTTTGCAACAATCTGGACATTTATATGGTTTGTCCCCTGTGTGAGTCCTCTGGTGTGTCACCAGGGTCCACTTATGACTGAAACTTTTCCCACACTCTGGACACTCGTATGGTTTCTCTCCTGTGTGAGTCCTCTGGTGTGTCACCAGGTGGGAATTATGACTGAAACTTTCCCCACACACTGGACATTCATACGGTTTCTCTCCTGTGTGAGTCCTCTGGTGTGTCACGAGTCTGGAATTATGACTGAAACTTTTCCCACACTCTGGACACACATACGGTTTGTCTCCCGTGTGAGTCCTCTGGTGTATCACCAGGTTGGAATTTCTACTGAAATATTTCCCACACTCTGGACATTCATATGGTTTTTCTCCTGTGTGAATCCTCTGGTGTGTCACCAGGCTGGCATTATTAATGAACCTTTTCCCACATTCTGGACACTCATATGGTTTCTCTCCCGTGTGAGTCTTCTGATGTGATACCAAGTGGGAATTCCATCTGAAACTTTTCCCACACTTTCGGCATTCATATGGTTTCTTTCCTGTGTGAGTCCTTCTGTGTGTCATGAGGCTGGAATTTCTACTGAAACTTTTCCCCCAGTCAGGATATGCAAAGGGTGTCTCTCCCATGTGAGTCTTCTGGTGTATTACCAGGGTGGAATTGTGACTGAAAATTTTCCCACAGTCAGAACATTCCAAGGGTTTCTTCCCGGGGTGACTCTTCAGTTGTCTCATGAGGTGGGAATTTCTAATGAAACTTTTCCTTCAAACTGGGAACTTAACAGTTTTTCCCTGGTGTGAGTCCTCTGATGTTGCTATGCTTGCTAAAGTATTTACCACACTGAAAGCCATCTGTCCTATATGTGTCCTTCGATGAACCACAAGAGAGCTGTTCGGACTAAACCATTTCTCACATTTATAGCATTGCTATGGCTTTTTTACAATGTGAATTCTCTCATGCATAATCAGTTGTGATTTACAATCTGTACTTTTCCCACAATAGGTACAATAGGAGCTTTTCGAACACTGATATTTTTGAGGTCAAATATATGTGTGATCATTTGTTTACTGGTGCTTTAATTCCAGCTGTTCTCTTCCTCACAGGGCCAGGCCTGCATCACTGTCAGCCCTGTGTGGCTATCCAAAAGACCTTTTTCTCCCCACTCACTTCCAGAGATACCCCTCTTTTTCTGAATGAAATAGAATCTCCCTTGATCTTTCATGTATGTATTCTTGAGTTTCTTAGATTCCACTTTTTCTAGTTTGAAATCTCCTCTTAATTTTCTCTCCTTTGTCTCTCAACTGCTGGGAAAGGAGAAGAAATTTGTGGTTTTCTGAAGGAAATCAAAAATATTTTGATTTCTGGCTCATTTTACTTTATTTTCCAATGTTGCTTGTTATTCTCAGTTTTCCAGAGTGCTCTTACGGACTTCTTCTTTGTCTATAAGATTCAAAGGAAAATGTAACTTTAATTGTTTATAAAATGGTTGCAGAAGATGTGAAAAAATGTATACATAACAATAAATAAGGAAACGTGCCACAATAAAGAATAACCTCTTACATTAGTTATGATTTATTTGACACATTTGTATTCAAGTTCAAATATCCATTCAGTCATGAAATTATCTTTTTCACTTTAATGATTCACAAATTTTAGCAGTGCAAAGGCTTATCATTAAATATATCTGGAACTGCTGGGGATAGATTGTACAGTTGTAAATATATGCACACAGAGAGAAATACAAACACACACACCTATAACTGTATGTATGTGGAAGATCCCTGTGTTTTTAGCCTGAAAATTATCCCAAAATGGTTACAGTCGAATCTGCTAACTTTAGAGATTTTCTAAAAAATGTGGGTTTTTACCTGATGAAATGATACCTAAACCCTCTGCAAGATTTCAGGTACTAGTTTTGCCCATGGAACTCCTCAGCTCCAAGTAAGGACAGGAAATATTTTCCACAACCACTCTGGTGACATCCTAATTCAAGTAGTGCTCACTTACTGACTGCAATTGCCACTGGCATCTGTGACAGTAAGCAGCCCAATGGTTAAGCATGATGTCATATGACAATGCCAACTTACATATCATGCTTGTTGGTTTTACAGAAAGGGAATGCCATGAAAGTGAAGGTGGAAAGACACAGACATTCTGTGCCTTAAACAGACAGAATTTGGAGAAAAACTGAAAATTGGAAAGGGAAGATGGTAATGGAATACCTAGAGAAAGCAGGACTGGGTTAACAAAATATAAAGAAAAACTCTCCACAGGGCATTTTATTCCAACAACTGAAGCCTCTTTGGAGCTCAACCAACCTGCCTCTTGTGCACACCAGTCTCTCTTCCCCAAAATGCTCTGCAGGCAGTTATTAGAGCTCCCAGGCCTCTCCTTTGACCTGAGAATCTTTTACCTTTCTAATTATTTCACACAAGCCTCTTGATCTCTTTACAAAGCTGTTTGTAAAAAAACAGCAGGGAGCTTCTTTTCCAGAATACATTCTACAGTCTATAAAAGAACTAAATTTTAAATTGAAAATCTGAGACACGAATGAGGAAAAATGAATTTCAACAAGTGCAAAATCAGGCTGCAGCATAACAAAGTTGACAGAAGTGAAAGGGGTCTGAATGCTGTCTGAATGCACTGAACGTGGGTTCCTATTGACACAGAAATACACTCCTAAGAACTTATTCATGTGAACAATTATGTGTATTTCAGTCTGCAAAAGGACTCTGGAGGGAATTCGCTCAAATGTTTTAATCTGTTTTTTAAAAGTTGGGGACACTGAGAGAGGAAAGGGTGAAGAAATCCCTTTTGCCCATGAAACTCCTCGCTTGCCAGGAAAACGACGTCAATAAAACCACAAGGATCCAAGTGTTACGGGGAGGGTGAGGGAGGCGGGTGGTTGAGAAATATGAAAAATGTATCAAGATTTCTTTAAATCTCCCAAATCTCCCAGCAGAAAATCACAGGCAGCAACTTTAAATCCTGGAGAAAAAGGATAATAAAAACATTTGGGGGAGAGAAAGAATCTGCAGCAGGAGCAGCCCTCATGTTTCATTCCTGTCCCTTCGCTGCTTCCAGGCCCTGCAGGAACCCAAAAGGCTTCTCCTCCGACCTTCCCTCCACTCACCTCCCAGGAGCCGCTTCCGCCCTCCGAGCAGCACAAGAGGCTCCGCCGACGCCTCCGTCCTCCTCCCGTGGGTGACCCGGAAGAGGAACGTCCTCTGTCCTCCACATCCTCTCTAGCAATCTAATACTCTATCATTCCAATTCGTTCCAGTTCGGCCTCTATCCCTCTGGTGTAATGTCAATACTAGCAATGCCGCTACTGTTCTCCTATTCTCTGCTATCGAGGCGCGAGTGTTGCTTCTTTGTAGAGCGCCATCTAGTGTCATAAAGTTGAAAATCACCGTCGTCCGATCTCTACCCTGAAGCCTTTGCAAGAGTCAGCCATCAAGTCGTATTCGACTCCCACCGAGCACAGGAATAGGTTTCGTCCATGACAGTCTATGCTGTACCTTCTCTTTCAGGTCTCCCAAGAGGACACAGTCATTTTCCCTCTTGCTCCAACTAAACCAAAGGAAACTGTCCAAGGAGGGGAATGACTATAATATCCAACCTGAAAGTGCCCCTCCCTTGGGGGCTGATGAAGATTGTTCCAGCGAATTTTACATCTGGGGGCATCGGTCTACTCATTTGTTTTCTTTTAACACTGATCAGCTGTAGGGCAGCCCTTTGAAGCCCCGCGGCAAGAATTTAAACAGTTTTTTTCCCCTCTAGCCATCAGCTGGGACTCAGGAGGCAGCAATAGATTGGGAGTGGGCGGGGTAAGCCAACAGTGACCGGGCCGGGAACTGGTTCAGAGGGTGAGGGTGAGTGAAGGCGTGGGGGGGGGGGTGAGAGGGCTTTGGCGACCCCTGTGAAATGGCTGTTCGACCCCCAAAGGGGTCGCGACCCCCAGGTTGAGAACCGCTGATCTAATCGGTTCCGTCTCCCTGTGGCGAGGGGTAGCGGTTCGAAGATCCTGTCGAAGGAGTGAATGATCAGACCATGACAAGGGCTGCATAACTAAATCCCTATTTCTAGATCATTCTGCCACTGACCAGAGACAAAAATCAGATCCGGAGTCTGTCCCCCCGTGCGAGTAGGGCCTCGAACTAACTGGGTCAGGTCCAAGGCCATCATGGAAGCCATGAACTCCCGGGCTGCCATTGATGTGTCACCGACCGATGGCAGGTTGAAATCCTCCACGACCATCAGCTTGGGGGTACCAACCGCCACCCCGGCTATCACATCAGGCAGCTCGGGGAGGGCCGCTGCCACGTAGCAGGGAGCGAGGTACATGATCAGCAGGCCTCTCTTTCTCCCCTTTTTTCTCTCATTTCTCTCTCCCTCTCTTCCCCTTTTTTCTCATTTGTTTCTCTTTACTCTGGAGCCACGGGCTGCCAACACCCAGCCTACAGGAAAGGCTTTGTTTGCTATATTTTAAATTATAATAAACCTCTGGATCCTAAGTGAGATGCTTTATGATGTGCTGTCTGTTCAATTGTTAAGTGCAATTATGCTTAATTAGGTTTTTTCCCCTGACGAGGGTCTGTGCCCCCTTCTCCTTGGTTCCATCAGTGTCCAATAGCCTTCATTTTTGATGTTTTGTGAAGGGCTTTCAGGTTTGGCATCTCTCTGGTGTAATTTCGCATTCTGTTTGCAGGCTCTGTCTTTGATCCTGTTCATTCCAGATTGAGAACTCTGGTTCCTGTCTCCCTGTCATCCCCCTCCCCTTCTTTGCCCATTCCCACCCCCATGGAGATCTTCAGCATGAGTCCTTCTCTATCCCAGGCAGGAGCTGCTGCCCCAAAATTAGCTGTTCTCTCTTTTTGCAATCTATCAGACCAGTAAGGAAAAATTTCTGGCTCTTTACACTTCTGCAAAATGACAAGATGCCCTGATCAAGTTTTTCTAGAAATGCTTCCTTCTCCCCTATTGATGGCACAGAAGATGAGATTCAGTCACAGCTGCTTGTCCAGCCTAAAATTATCTCAGGTGAGCCTGACAGTTGCTGGTCTATTTAACAAGTAGAACTCCACGCTTGGAAAATACTATCTGGCTTGTGGGAGGTGATCAATTCCTCTCTCCAGGGAGGGACGGACTCTGTGGATGAGAATTGCAATCCTTTCTCCAATTTGGCTGCTTGCTCCCATGCCTGCTGGGGGTTGCTGTGGGGGGGGGGGAAGAGGGAGCCAAGGAGAGGAGAGAAAGTACCCTCCCTGTCAAGCACCAGAGAAATCAGAAGATCCAGGCTGTTCAAATGGGTATAAAGATTTATTGGAAGCTTAAAATCTCTGCAATAATCTGAACAACAATCAAAGCAATTTGGAAGTATGAGAATTCCAGTTGATGTTGGGGCGATATCAGACACAGGGAATGGGTCTCCACATTCCCTGTGCTGAGTTCTCCCTGTTTGTGGCCTCCAAGAGGAGCCAAAGCCGGTGAAGCAAAGAGGGGCCCCCTGTGAGGTTGCAGAGTTGCAGCTCTCCTGCCTGACTGGGGGTTCTTTTTCCCTCTCAGCCACAGTAAGTTTAGTTTAGTTTAGTTTAGTTTATTAGATTTGTATACCGCCCTACTCCCGAAGGACTCAGGGCGGTGAACAGCCATGAAATAAAACATATCAATACAAAATTTAAAATAGAAATAAAACAAGTTAGATAAATTTGGCTGAACCATATTTAAAACCCCAGTAATTTAAAACCAAATTTAAAATTCCCATTTAAAAGAGGAGAAGTTTAGGTCAGGCCGGCTTGCTGGAATAGGAACGTCTTCAGCGTGCGACGGAAGGTACGCAGATCCGGAATCCTCCGTATCTCGGGGGGGAGCTCGTTCCAGATAGTAGGTGCCCCCACAGAGAAGGCTCTCCCCCTGGGGGCCGCCAGTCGACATTGTTTGGCCGACGGCACCCGGAGGAGCCCCTCTCTATGGGAGCGTACTGGTCGGTGGGAGGCTATTGGTGGTAGCAGGCGGTCCCGTAGATAACCAGGTCCTGAGCCATGGAGCGCTCTAAAGGTGATGACCAAAACCTTGAAGCGCACTCGGAAGACCACCGGGAGCCAGTGCAGCTCGCGCAGGAGAGGCGTTACATGGGAGCGCCACGTCGCTCCCATCACCACCCGCGCGGCCGCACTCTGCGCCAGTTGGAGCCTCCGAGTGCTCCTCAAGGGGAGCCCCATGTAGAGAGCGTTACAATAGTCCAGACGGGAGGTGACGAGGGCATGAGTGACCGTGCGTAACGAGTCCCGATCCAGAAAGGGACGCAACTGGCGAATCAGGCGAACCTGATGAAAAATCCTCCCGGTCACGGCCGTCAAGTGCTCTTCTAAAGACAGCCGTGAATCCAGGAGGACACCCAAGTTGCGAGCCCTCTCCGTGGGGGCCAATACTTCGCCCCCAATAGTCAGCGATGGCACCAGCTGACTATATCGGGATGTCGGAAACCACAGCCACTCGGTCTTGGATGGGTTGAGTCTGAGCCTGTTTCTCCCCATCCAGATCCGTACGGCCTCCAGGCACCGGGACATCACTTCAAGGGCATCGTTGGGGTGGTCCGGGGTGGAGATGTACAGCTGGGTGTCGTCAGCGTACTGATGGTACTCCACCCCGAAACCACGGATGATCTCGCCCAACGGCTTCACATAAATGTTGAACAAAAGGGGCGAGAGGACCGATCCTTGTGGCACCCCACATATAAGGGGCCTCGGGGTCGACCTCTGCCCCCCTGTCAACACAGACTGCGACCGGTCGGAGAGAAAGGAGGAGAACCACCGTAGTACGGTGCCTCCCACCCCCAACCCCCCCAACCGGTGCAGCATGATACCATGGTCGATGGTATCAAAAGCCGCTGAGAGATCTAATAGGACCAGGATAGAGGAACAACCTCTGTCCCGAGCCCTCCAGAGATCATCCACCAACGCGACCAATGCCGTTTCCGTGCTGTACCCAGGCCTGAAGCCCGACTGGAACGGATCTAGATACGTCGTTTCATCCAGGTACCGGGGAAACTGTCGTGCCACCACACTCTCAACAACCTTCGCAACAAAGCGAAGGTTGGAGACTGGACGATAATTAGCCAATATTGCCGGGTCCAGGGAAGGCTTCTTGAGGAGAGGTCTCACCACCGCCTCTTTCAAGGCGGCGGGAAAGACACCCTCACTCAATGAAGCATTTATAATCCCCTGGAGCCAGCCTCGCGTCACCTCCCGGGAAGCCAGCACTAACCAGGAGGGGCACGGGTCCAACAAACATGTGGTCGCATTCAGTCTACCCAGAATCCTGTCCACGTCCTCAGGGGTCACAGAGTCAAACTCATCCCAGATAACATTCTCAGGACCTGCCTCCGTCATCCCCACTGGATCTACCCAGTCAGAGTCCAGATCTTCCCGAATCTGAGTGATTTTGTCATACAGATACTGAACAAAATCCTCGGCTCTCCCCTCCAAGGGGTCCTCCCTCGCTTCCTGGTGGAGCAGGGAGCGGGTTACCCTAAACAGGGCGGCCGGGCGGTTATCTGATGACGCGATAAGAGCAGCAAGATGAGTACATTTCGCTGCTTTTATCGCCACTAGGTAATTCTTAATATGAGATCTTACCAGTGTCCGGTCAGATTCAGTGCGACTGGCCCTCCAACTACTCTCTAGGCGTCTTTTCCGGTGCTTCATCTCCCTCAGCTCCTCAGTAAACCAAGGAGCCAGGTGAGATCGGCGCCGGGTCAGAGGCCGCAAAGGCACGACTCGATCCAGAGCTCCAGCGGCCGCCCTATCCCAGGCGGCCACTAAGTCTCCAGTCGAGGCGTGAGCCAAGACCTCAGGCATTGGCCCAAGCTCCGTCTGGAACCTATCAGGTTCCATCAGGCGCCTGGGGCGGTACCATCTTATCGGTTCCGCCTCCCTGCGGCGGGGAGCAGCTGTTCGAAGATCAAGGCGAAGGAGAGAGTGATCCGACCATGACAAGGGCTCGATAACTATGTCCCCTATCTCGAGATCACTCAGCCACTGTCCAGAGACAAAAATCAGGTCCAGTGTGTTTCCCCCCATGTGCGTAGGGCCATGAATTAGCTGGGTCAGATCCATAGCCATCATGGAAGCCATGAACTCCCGAGCCACCTCAGACGTCTCACCCACGGACGGCAGGTTGAAATCCCCCATGACCATAAGTCTGGGGGTATCAACCGCCACCGCGGCAATAACGTTGAGTAGCTCGGGCAGGGCTGCTGCCACGTGGCAGGGAGCCAGGTACGTGATCAGCAAACCCATCTGAACCCCATGACCCCACTTCACAAGGAGGGTCTCACAACCGGCCGTCTGAGGAACAGTGGTCTCCCTCGGCCTAAAACCTTCTCTAATAATAACCGCTACTCCCCCGCCCCTTCCCTGAGACCTCGGTTGATGGAATGCGTGGAAGCCTGGTGGGCACATTTCTACCAGAGGGACCCCTCCCTCCAGGCCCAACCAGGTCTCCGTAATACCTGCCAGGTCCGCTCCCCCCTCCTGAACAAGATCACAAATGAGGGGGGCTTTATTTACTGCGGACCTGGCATTGCACAACATCAGCCGAAGGCCCGGGCCCTGAGGATCTGTGCAACCTGGAGAACGGGTGGAGCCTTGGGGGCCGGAGCACGCTACCGCATGGAGACAGCGGGTGCGCGCTCCCTTAACATGATATGGCCCCCTGCTCCCGCCATATCTACCCCTCCCCCTCACAGTACCGATGGTAAAAACACAATCTGGACAGGCTCGACCCCCTCCATTTCCTCCGGAACTCCCCCCCCCCCCCCGCCGCGTATAGTGGCCAGGCCTGACCTTCCCCTTGGTGGGTTATCCCCCAAACCCACTACCCTAGTTCCAATTTTGCCTCCCCCCCCCTGGGACCCCTTAAAATTTTTTCCAAAAATTTACATAAAAAACCCCTCAACCCCCTCTTCGCCGCATGCCACCTCTCTGGGTCCCAAGACCCGTCATTGAGGTAGGCCCTCGATAACGTGGAGGGCCAGGCTTGCGAGAGGGGGGAGTCTCGCAGTGCAAGAAGCTGTGCCCTTCGGTACATCTAAGCTCTGAGGTAGTGATAAGGTATGGGCCCAGGGCTCCATGATAGTCCAAATTGTCCTGAAAAAGGCAGGTTGACCATAAGGGAAGAGTCTCCACTGTCCTCTCACGGCAGTGGAGGAGTCCAATGTTCCAACCAATTCGAGGATAATCGTCCAACCAGCCTCTCACGATGGTTGGCCAACTCGCCATGGGGAAGATGGTACATCCCATCGGTAGTGAAACAATGATAGAAACCGGCTCCATTCGTCCTCCTGTAAGCTGCCATTTTTCATACAGCCAGTAAGAAGAAGAGACAGCCTAAAGATGGATGCCACAAAGCTGGGACAACCGAGGAACAACTAAGACTGGTGCTGGAGCGAAGTAGGTGAACAGTGATTGAAACTGGGGGAGAGAATTCCTTTTTGCCTTAAACTTAACCCCGAGGAACAATTTAAAACTATTTGCTCAGAACTAGTTGTTAAAGTGGCGTTTAAGCATTCTGAGAAAATACCATAATGGAAGGGGAAGACACAAGAGACAGAAATAATGATTTTTGAAATAAACAGAAAATTGGACTCTTAAACTGGGAAGATGTGGTACTGGGAAGGCATTTTAAAATGCTGGAATCATTTACTTACAAAATTTATTCTGCTTTTATAATTGATTTACAACTAAAATGACGATTGACTAGAGGCAATACTGAAATTTAAGTTAAGAGCGCCACCTGGTGATGAAAGGAAAATTTACAAGTCTGGGAATACTTACATGAAGAACTGTGAAAATATTTTCTGGATTATTCCTAACTACCCTATCACTATTTAAAGGGACCCCTGAATGTTATCCTAGAAGATTGAACCTGTAAAGGGGATGTAAAGAGCCATTGAGAACCTCTGTAACTATTTAAATAGTACTGATTGTTTATCTATGGGATATAAAGAACTGTGATTAGTGCACTCCTTGAAGAGCAATTTAAGGACTGAATAGTTCTTGGACGGCTGAACAAAAGTTGAATTTTTTGTTATATAACAGCGGTTAATGGGCATGGGGGAAAGGAAGGAAGAAGATTAAAGCGGTAATTTAAAGGGACAAAACCCAAAAAGAAAATTGACTTTTTGTATAAAAATATTTGGAGAACTTTAAAAAGCAGAAGAAATAGAATCCCACAAATGTGCAGAGGATTGGAAAGAAAGTAAGCAGACCCTTTCTGAATGTTGGAGAAAACTAAAAGAGAAACTGAAAATTAAGCCCTGAAATAGAAGTTTTGTACAAAAAAAAAGCAGAAAAACGGATTTAGTAATTTGAACTAAACTTTAAATTGATTTGACGTATATAAAGGTAAAAAGAAAAAGGGAAAAATTAGCAAAGATTCTTAATGTGGACTACAAACAAAATGGATACTTTTTCAGACTGCTGATTGGAATTGTGGATTGTAGAGAGACATCTTCAGGAGAAATAAGTTCATTACAACGCTGAACTTTTGTTTTGGAAAAACCTTGAATCCGGATAGTGATAAAGCCGTGAGAACTTCTGTGGAGGGTTTGTTTGTCTGTAACTTGACTTTGATGATTAAAAAAAAAAAGAACTACAATGCAACTTTAAATTGGTATAATACTAACCGAAAAAGAATAAAATGGCACAGGAATTTATGGAAATGATGAAAATGATGCATCTATCACTGAAAATGGAAGTGAAGGAAATAATTACAATGTTGCATAGAAAACCAAACCGAACCTGATTCAAAAATTGTGTTAGAACACACTCAAGAAAATAAAATAATGACAAGAAAATAACGAAGCAAGAAATAGAAATTGACAATAAAGAGGAAGACAAAGACAACGAGACTGACTATGAAAAATTAAATGATCATAATAAGTTTAAATAAATTAGATTTTAAATTGCACTGTTGGAACTAACAGCTGGAATATTTTTAAACTTAAGGAAAACTAACAACTGGAATATCTTTAACTGCATATTTGGAATCTAAAAAAGAAAATAGTTCAAAGTATGAACTAACTAGGTTGTGGTGAAAGTAGAAATGATTAAGATGTTGTTTGAAGAGGTACAAATATATATGTTTGACAAAGTAATTGAAACTTAGAGACAAGATTCAAGAAAAGCAATTTCATTTATTATTATTATATAAAGAGAAAGATTGTTAAATAATTAACTGTTTTTTATTAAGATGATGGATTGTATCATTTGATGTCCCGGTGCCTGGAAGCGGTGCAGTTCTCGATGGGGAAGAACAGGCTTCAGCTCAACCCCACCAAGACGGAGTGGCTGTGGCTACCGTCATCTCAGTTCCAAGGGAATATTCCATCGTTGGCCATAGGGGGTGAGGTGTTGTCCCGTTGAAAGGGTTAGGCGTCCTCCTGTATTCACGGTTGACTCTGGAAGATCATGTTGCAACTGTGACCAGGGGGGCATTTGCACAGATTCGTCTGGTGCGCCAACTGCGCCCCTACTTGGACTGAGATGACCTGCGCAGTCACTCATGTGCTCGTTACCTCCTGGATCGACTACTGCAATGCTCTCTACATGGGGCTGCCCATGAAGACCACTCGGAGGCTTCAGCTGGTGCAGAATCCGGCCGCACGGGTAGTGATGGGAGTGTCCCGACACTCTGTTACACCCCTCCTGCGCGACCTGCATTGGCTACCGGTTGCCCTCCGGGCGAGATTCAAGGTGCTGGTTATTACCTATAAAGACCTACATGGCCTAGGCCCGGGGTACCTGACGAACCATCTGCGACCAATGACAGCTCCCCATCGCCCGGTGCGTTCCCACAGGGAGGGCCTCCTTGGGGTGCCATTGGCCAGGCAGTGTCGGTTGGCGACTCCTAGGGAATGGGCTTTCTCTGTGGGTGCACCTACCTTATGGAATCAACTCCCCCTGGGGCTACGGATGGCCCCTGACCTTTGCTCTTTCCGCTGTGACCTCAAAACATGGTTATTTCGCCAGGCCGGATTGGACTGAAGGGGAGTTTTAATGGCTTTTAACATTTTAATATTGAATTTTATGTGTTTTATTGCTGTGAGCTGCCCTGAGTCCTTTTCGGAGAGAGGGCGGCATACAAGTTTAATTAATAAATAATAATAAATAAATAAATTTGGAATAAGATATAAAGAAATGTATAAAACAATTTGGTTTATTATTTTTATAAGAAATGTATGATTGTAATGCTACATAATTAATTGACTTTTATTAAGATGCTGGATTCTCTTATATAGAAATAATTGATAATTGAAAATAGTGATTATATCAAGGAACTATAAGGAAATATTAGGAATTACATTATGTGGTGAGATTTGAAATTGAAGGGGATTAAAATAGAGATGAACGGAAAAATTGAATTTGGTGAAGATTAGTGATTAGGATGAACGGTAATATTGGTCTAAAAAAAGAGTTAGAATAAATACTAAGGCAAAAAAGGAATATATAAATTGTGTGGAAATGACTAAAACTTGTTTAAATTTGTGAAACGGCCAACACTCAGAAAAAATACATTGTACTGAGATAAAGATCCAAGAGAGGAATATAGGAGGCAACCAAAAAAAAAAAAAAGCATAGCAATTAAAGTACTGAAGTGGTCAAGAGACGATGGATAGATGATTTTTCTTTTTTGTTGTTGTTCTGATTTGCTTTTCTTTTTCTCTCCCTTTTCTTTTGTTTTTTTAGGTAGGTGACATGACTAGAAGCTAGGTAGGACAGAAAGAAAATGTCTTTTAATATAGGGTGACATGATTAAAAGTTAGAATAAGAGATAGAAATAAGAGAAAAGGGAAACAGTGTATACACTTTTATATCACAAAATAAAAGCAATAAGAGAAAACATGGAATAACTGAACAATGACTGACTGCAACTTAATATGTGTATTATTATTAGAAATATAAAAGTTGGTTGAAACTTGGAAAAAAGCAATTTGGAATTAGATATGAGTCAAAAAATTCAAGGTGGGCTAGATTTAAATCTTTTGTGGGCACGAAGGGACACATTACTGACGGCATGTTTGATCCCTGCTGTCACCATGAATTCCAGGCACAATGAAAATGATGGCTGCTTCCATAACAAAATCATGCGGCCCAGGGATGCATGTCCTGCCCTCTTTTCCCAAAATGAGGTTCAGTGATCTTCACCGCTTAATTCACACATTCATTGATCAGCTTTATCAGGGAGAGAAGGGAGTGGGCGTAATTAAGCAAAGCAGTCTCATTTAATGGTGATTGCAACATAACACCCTAATTGTGATTGCAACATAAAACCGTAATAGATAGGCCCCATTACCATTATATCTCGAGGACTACTTGCATATAGTTGGGAAATTCTGGCATTCAAAATCTGGAGGACACCAAGGTAGAAGATGCAAACTCCAATCGTGGGAATTCAATAATCAATATAAAAAAATACCCCCAAAAGCCTTCTGCAAAAGGAAATATCATGAAAGTTCTGCTGATCACCAGAAACAGGTAATTAGCTTTATCAAGGCTGTGAGTCCTTTGGTGTCTCATCAGATTAGAATTATGACTGAAACTTTTCTCTACATTCATACAATTTGTCCTGGAAATGAGTCCTCCGGTGTTTCATTAGGCTGGAATTCTGACTGAAACTTTTGCCACACTCAGGACATTCATATGGTTTTTCTCCTGTGTGAGTCCTCTGATGTCTTATCACACTGGAAATATGACTGAAACTTTTCCCACATTCTGGACACACATACAGTCTCTCTCCTGTGTGAGTCCTTTGGTGTGTCACCAGGTTGGAATTCTTACTGAAACATTTCCCACATTCTGGACATTCATACGGTTTCTCTCCTGTGTGAGTTCTCTGGTGTGTCAACAGGTTGGTATTCTTAGTGAAACATTTCCCACATTCTGGACATTCATACAGTTTCTCTCCTGTGTGAGTCCTCTGGTGTTGCACAAGGCTGGAATGATGACTGAAACTTTTCCCACATTCTGGACATTCATACGGTTTCTCTCCTGTGTGAGTTCTCTGGTGTGTCACCAGGTTGGTATTCTTACTGAAACATTTCCCACATTCTGCACACTCATACAGTTTGTCCTCTGTGTGAGTCCTCTGGTGTGTCACCAGATTGGAAGTGTTACTGAAACTTTTCCCACAATCTGGACACTCATATGGTTTCTCTCCTGTATGAGTCCTCTGGTGTGTCACCAGGTTGGAAGTGTTACTGAAACATTTCCCACATTCTGAACATTCATACGGTTTTTCTCCTGTGTGAGTCCTCTGGTGTTGCACAAGGCTGGAAGTGTACCTGAAACTTTTCCCACAATCTGGACATTGATACGGTTTCTCTCCTGTGTGAGTCCTCTGGTGGGTCACCAGGTTGGAAGTGTTACTGAAACATTTCCCACATTCTGGACATTCATACGGTTTCTCTCCTGTGTGAGTCCTATGGTGTTTCACAAGGTTGGAAGTCTGACTGAAACTTTTCCCACATTCTGGACATTCATACAGTTTCTCTCCTGTGTGAGTCCTCTGGTGTGTCACCAGGTTGGAAGTGTTACTGAAACATTTCCCACATTCTGAACATTCATACGGTTTCTCTCCTGTGTGAGTCCTCTGGTGTTTCACAAGGCTGGAATTATGACTGAAACTTTTCCCACATTCTAGACATTCATACAGTTTCTCTCCTGTGTGAGTCCTCTGGTGTTGCACAAGATTGGAAGGGTGACTGAAACTTTTCCCACAATCTGGACACTGATACGGTTTCTCTCCTGTATGAGTCCTCTGGTGTATCACGAGGGTAGAATTCTGGCTGAAAGTTTTCCCACATTCTGAACATTCATACGGTTTCTCTCCTGTGTGAGTCCTCTGGTGTTTCACGAGGCTGGAATTATGACTGAAACTTTTCTTACACTCCTGACATTCATACAATTTGGCCTGGAAATGAATCCTCTGGTGTGTCATTAGGACGGAATTCTGACTGAAATTTTTCCCACAATCTGGACGCTCATACGGTTTATCCTCTGTGTGAGTCATCTGGTGTGTCATCAGGTCGGAATTATTACGGAAACATTTCCCCCATTGTGAGCAATCATACGGTTTCTCTCTGGTGTGTCACCCGGGTGGAATTATGACTGAAAAATTTCTCACTCTCTCGACACTCATACGGTTTCTCTCCCGTGTAAATCGTCTGATGTGATATCAGTTTGGAATTACATCTGAAACTTTTCCCACACTCTGGACATTCATATGGTTTCTCCAGGGTATGAGTCCTCTTGTGTGTCACCAGGTGGGAATTCCTACTGAAACATTTGCCACAGTCAGGACATGCAAAGGGTGTCTCTCCCATATGAGTCTTCTGGTGTATTACCAGGGTGGAGTTGTGACTGAAAAGATGTGAAAAAAGAAAAAAGTATACATTACAATAAGCAAACATGCCACAATAAAGAATAATCTTTTACATTAGTTATGATTTATTTGACACATTTGTGTCCAAGTTCAAATATCCATTCAGTCATGAAATTACCTTTTTCACTTTAGTGATTCACAAATTCTTAGCAGTGCAAAGGCTTATCATTAAATATATCTGGAAATGCTGGGGATAGATTGTACAGTTGTAAATATATGCACACAGAGAGAAATACAAACACACACACCTATAACTATGTATGTGGAAAATCTATGTGTTTTTAGCCTGAAAATTATCCCAAAATGGTTACAGTCGAACCTTCTGAACTAACTTTAGAGGTGTGGGTTTTTACCTGATGAAATGATAACTAAACCCTCTACAGGATTTGATATTCTAATTTTGCCCGCTTACTGACTGCAATTCGGACTGGCATCTGTGTCAGTAAGTAGTCCAATCATTAAACATGATATCATATCACAATGCCAACTTTCTTCTGTTCCTCTGCATTTATTATGCTAATCGGTGTGGGTTATTAAAGGCAATTTTACATGACTGTGACTTCCAACATCCTGCTGACATCTTCACTGATTTTGCTTGTCAAAAATTAGCTGGGAAGATCACAAATGAGGACCTTGATTCTGAGATACTGCCACCATTGTAAATCTGAATTGCAATTGCTGCAACTCCTTTTCCTGCACTTTCACAACCATTCTGGTGATATCCTAATTCAAGTAGTGTTCACTTACTGACTGCAATTTGGGACTGGCATCTGTGTCAGTAAGGAGCCCAATCTTTAAGCATGATGACATATTTATTTATTTTATTTATTTTATTTTTAAAATTTATATGCCGCCCATGTCCGAAGACTCAGGGCGGCTCACAATACATTTAAAAAAAACATTCTAAAAACATTTAAAAATTAAAAAACAATTAAAAACCTTAAAACGCATTCACACCATTTATGGCCAGATCTCGCCAGATCGCAAAGCGAGATCAACCGCCCCAGGCCTGCCAGAAAAGCCAGGTCTTCACTGCTTTTCGGAAGGCCAATAGGGTGGGGATGGTCTGGTCCTCAGGAGGTAACTGGTTCCAGAGAGCTGGGGTTGCCACAGAGAAGTCCCTCCCCCGCGGGCCCGCCAACCGGATATGACAATGCAATTTACATATCATGCTTGTTGGCTTTACAGAAAGGGAATGCCATGAAAGCGAAGGTGGAAAGACACAGAGAAATTATGTGCCTTAAACAGACAGAATTTGGAGAAAAACTGAAAATTGGAAAGGGAAGATGGTAATGGAATAACTAGAGGAAGCCAGACTGGGTGAACAGAATATAAAGATAAACTCTCCACAGGGCATTTTATTCCAACAACAGAAGCCTCTTTGGAGCTCAACCAACCTGCCTCTTGTGCACACGTCTCTCTTCCCCAAAATGCTCTGCAGGCATTTTGCCCAATACATCCCAGGCCTGTCACTTAACCTGAAATGTTCTTATCTTTCAAAATATAGTGCATTCAGAAAGTATTCAAACCCCCTTTACTTTTGTCAATTTTGTTATGCTGCAGCTTGATTCTACAGCTGTTGAACTTCATTTTTCCCCTCCTTAATCTACATAGTACCCCATAATGACAAAGTAAAAATGTCTGTAAATTTAGTAAAAGGAAAAAACCTGAAATATCACATTGGCATAAGTATTCAGATCCTTTGCAATAGCACTTGAAATTTAGCTCAGGTACCTCCCATTTCCCTTGATTGTGCTGACATGTTTCTATACCTTGATTGGAGTCTACCTGTGGTAAATTAAACTGATTGGACATGATTTGGAAAGGCACACACTCTCCATAGAAGGCCTCTCAGCTGACAATGCATACTGTAGCAGAACAATAGCCATGAGGCCAAAGGAACTGCCTGCAGAGTTCAGAGACAGGATTATTGCAAGGCACAGATCTGGGGAAGGCTACCATAAAATTTCTGCTGCACCAAAGGTCCTAAGGGCACAGTGGCCTCCATAATTCTCAAATGGAGAAGAAAGTTTGGCACAACCAGGACTCTTCCAAGAGCTGGTCGTCCGGTCAAACTGAGCAATTGGGGTAGAAGGGCCTTAGTAAAAGAGGGGACCAAGAACCCGATGGTTACTCTGACTGAGCTTCAGAGATCCTGTGTGGAGATGGGGCAGAGTTGAGTGGAGCAAAGCTGAATGGAGCAAAGTACAGGGATATCCTCAATGAAAATCTTTTCCACAGCACTCAGGACCTCACACTGAGCCGAAGGTTCACTTCTCAACATGACAAGGGACACAGCCAAGACCACATAGGAGAGGCTTAGGGACAACTCTGAATGTCCTAGATGGGCCCAGCCACAGTTCTGACTTGAACCCTATTGAATACTCTTAGGCACCTAAAAATGGCTCTTCATCAATGGTTGCCACCCAACCTGACTGAGCTTGAGAGGACTTGCAAGGAAGAATGGCAGAAAAACCCCAATCCAGGTGTGCATTATAGCCTCATACCCAAAAAGATTTGAGGCTGTAATCGCTGCCACTTCTAAAATTCTGTTTTCACTTTGTCATTATTGAGGTAGATGAGAAATGAAAGAAAATGAATTTCAACAGATGCAAAATAACAAAGTTGACAGAAGTGAAAGGGGTCTGAATACTGTCCGAATGCACTGAACGTGGGTTCCTATTGACACAGAAATAACCTCCTAAGAATTTATTCATGTGAACAATTATGTGTATTTCAGTCTGCAAAAGGACTCAGGAGGGAATTCGCTCAAATGTTTTCATCTGTTTTTTAAAAGTTGGGGACACTGAGAGAGGAAAGGGTGAAAAAATCCCTTTTGCCCATGAAACTCCTCGCTTGCCAGGAAAACGACATGTCAATAAAACCACAAGGCTTTATATTTCATTCATATATATATATATATATATATATATGAATATATATATATACCCACATAATATATATACATAAAGATTTCTTAAAATCTCCCAGCAGAAAATCACAGGCAGCAACTTTAAATCCTGGAGAAAAAGGATAATAAAAGAATTTGGGGGAGAGAAAGAATCTGCAGCAGGAGCAGCCCTCATGTTCCATTCCTGTCCCTTCGCTGCTTCCAGGCCCTGCAGGAACCCAAAAGGCTTCTCCTCCGACCTTCCCTCCACTCACCTCCCAGGAGCCGCTTCCGCCCTCCGAGCAGCACAAGAGGCTCCGCCGACGCCATTATCCTCCTCCCGTGGGTGACCCGGAAGAGGAACGTCCTCTGTCCTCCACATCCTCTCTAGCAATCTAATACTCTATCGTTCCAATTTGTTCCAGTTCGGCCTCTAACCCGCCGGTGTCACATCAATACTAGCAATGCCGCTGCTGTTCTCTTATTCTCTGCTATGGAGGCGCGAGTGTTGCTTCTTTGTAGAGCGCCATCTAGTGTCATAAAGTTGAAAATCACCGTCGTCCGATCTCTACCCTGAAGCGTTTGCAAGAGTCAGCCATCAAGTCGTATTCGACTCCCAGGGAGCACAGGAATAGCTTTCGTCCATGACAATCTATGCTTTACCTTCTCTTTCAGGTCTCCCAAGAGGGCAGACTCATTTTCCCTCTTGCTCCAACTAAACCAAAGGAAAACGTCCAAGGAGGGGAAGGACTATAATATCCAACCTGAAAGTGCCCCTCCCTTGGGGGCTGGTGAAGATTGTTCCAGCCAATTTTACATCTCAGGGGGTGCAGGATAAGTCTCGGAAAGCTGCCTTGGCAAATGTTTGAAGCTGTAAGAGTGAAGCTGTTGAATGGAAGGCTCTTGAGTCAAGCCCTTCTGTCCTTTGGGGTCTGGTAGGGATGCCCTCATTGTCACTCCAACTCAGCCAGGAGATTCTTTTGCAGGAACTGAACCAAGGAAATCATCCGTGGAGAGAACACAATGTGCCATCAGGCAGAGACAAAGCGCACCTCCCTTGAGGATCCGTGAAGACTATTCCATCCAGTTCTTTCTCTTGGGGTGCAGGATAACTCTCCAAAACTATATTTGCAACTGAGGGAAGCTTGAAGAGTGATGCTTTCCCCTATTCACAAGATTAGGCAGGTGCTGCATCATAAAAGTTGATAAAGGTCTTGTTTGTAGGGGAAACCTTAAACAATTGCCATGGGGTGGTTACATCTGGCCGGCAGGTCTGACATCCCTGCTCTACAAGTTGTGGGTGCTCCATCAGTGGAGGTTTTTAAGAGGAGATTGGGCAGCCAATTGTCTGGAACGGTATAAGGCAGGAGTGTCAAACTCGATTTCATTGATGGCCGCACCAGGGTTGTGTTTGATCTCGGTGGGCGCTGAGTGGACGTGGCCTAGATGGGCAAGCACAATGTCACTCGTGTCAGGGGCGCCTGTGGTGGCCCAAGCGCTCTGCCAGAGAAAATGGGCTCCTGAGCTCTGTTTTCAGCTACGATGGCCTCCTACAACTCTCTGCCAACAAAAACAGCCTTAGGGTGGACCCATGCACGGCCCTCGCAAGGTCTGTTTTCATTGGCAGAGGCCCCGAGGGCCAGTCCGCTGTTTCGAGGGCAGCCCTGTGGGCCAGATCTAAGCACCCCGTGGACCTAATCCAACCCCTGGGCCTTGAGTTTGACACCCCTGCTTTAAAGGCATGTTTTCCATATAAAATAATGCTTAAACAATGGGAGAATGTGTGGACAAAAGATCTAAAATTCAGATTAAAATAAAATGAGATGGTAGTGAAATGATAGCAGTGTTCCAATATTTGAGGGGCTACCACAAAGAAAAAGGGGTTCAACCTATTTTCCAAAGCAGCAGAAGGTGAGACAAGAAACAATGGATGGGAACTAATTGAGGAGGAAAGCAACCTAAAGCTAAGGAAAAGTTTCCTGATAGTGGGAACAATTAATCAGTGGAATGGCTTCCCTTCAGTAGCTCAGGGTGCTCCATCAATGGAGGCTTTTAAGAAGAGACTGGACTGGACAGCCATTTTTTGAAATCGTATGGGACAGGGTTCTGCAACCTTAAACACTCAAAGGGCCACTTGAACACGGGTGAAATGTTTGCTACCAGTTCTGTGGATGTGGCTTGGTGGTCATGTGAACAGATAGGTGTGGCCAACTTGATGTCACTCACTATTAGAACCAGGAGCTGTACATTTTAAAGCACATTTTGCCCCTTCTGAAGCCCCCAATGCTTTGAGTTTCCCTCCGCCACCCAAGCGACCATTGGAGCATTCTCTTGCCCCACTCTCCATCCCAGAGTGTCATGCATTCCCCTCCCCCCCATTCATCCATAGAAACCAGTGGTGAAATACAAAAATTCCTTCCTCTTCCTTCCTTCCTTCCTTTCTCTTCCTCCCTCTCCCTCCCCCACTCCTCACCCCCACCCCCAGATAATAACTAAGGAAATTTGGCCACATTCTTTCTGTCTCTGGAAAGATACCAAAATAAACCATGCATTGCAAAAGGAGTGACTGTCAGGCTGTTAGAGCACAGCGCCACGAGGTTGCCTCGAGGGGAGCAGACGGAGCTGAATCTCTCTCTCTCTCGCTTCCCGACTGCAGCAGGAAACAGCAGGCAGCCCTGTCTCTCATCTCTTTCATACTTCTCTTTCTCCCTCTTGTGTGTGTGTGTGTGCGTGTGTGTGTGCGCGCACGCATGTTCCCCCTTCCAAAAAAGGGGCGAGGGTTGGGTTTCTTCGGGTTTTTTTCGCTGATCTTGTTCTTTCTTCTTTGGGTGCTTTTTACCGTATGATTTAAATCAAGAGTCATTTCAGGTTCCCAGTTAAATGAAGCTCTTTCGTCCCCCTGCTTTGGTTCCCTGTTGGCTGGCTGCCCCCCACTCACTCCTCATCTGTCCTGAGAAGAGAAGGGCGACAGTGGCAGATGGAGACTCACTCCGTATTCCAAAGTGGAAGCGAAGAGTGCCTCTTTTTCCAGTCCTTGTAGGGATATGCGCGAACTTTCTCCACACCTGGACATTGGCTGGCCTGCCCGGCTGCAGCCAATACTCTGCACCGTTATGGACTCCAGGAGGAGGAAGAGGGGACCCCGTCTCCCCCATTGTGCAGCACGCTAAGTTTAAGTGCAAAAGTTGTAAGCAGCCATGGAGGCAGCGAGAGGAATATGGGGATTTTCTCTGCCCCGAGACACCGGCTGGGGCGCATCTCCCCAGATGAGCAATTCATCCTAGTGACTAGTCTCTCCAAGGTATCCATGGAGAGATCATGGGTTGCATGCAATTCCTTTGGGGCTCAGCACCTCCTGCCTGGGACCCTCTGATCAGCTGTTCTGCAGGGAAAATACAGCCCAGCTCAGCCTTACCTACCCACCTGCTCTGAGGGAAGAATGTGGGGCAGGGAAGGCAACAGGAGGACTGCACAAACAGAGCGGCAAAGAATGGCAGCTGGGGATATCCAGGAGAAAACCTCCTTGATGTGGATGAGTAACGGGAAAGGAACTCTAGGGGAGGATCCCTCCCCAAGAATTCCTCTCTCCAGGGAGGGGCTATCTCTGTGGACGAGAATTGCAATCCTTTCTCCAATTTGGCTGCTTGCTTCCACACCTGCTGGGGGTGGCTGTGGGGGGGGGAGAGGGAGCTAAGGAAAGTGCCCTCCCTGTCAAGCACCAGGGAAATCAGAAGATCCAGACTGTTCAAATGGGTATAAAGATTTTTTTTTTATAACGATTTAAATAAAGATTTATTGCAAGCTTAAGATCTCTGCAAGAATCTGAACAACGATCAAAGCAATTTGGAAGTATGAGACTTCCAGTTGACATTGCGGGGATATCAGACACAGTGAATGTGTCTCCCTGTTTGTGGGCTCCAAAAGGAGCCAAAACCACCCTGTAGGGGTGGTGAAGCAAAGAAGGGCCCCCTGTGAGGTCGCGGAGTTGCAGCTCTCCTGTCTGACCAGGGCTTCTTTTTCCCGCTCAGCCATAGAAAGACGAAGAGACAGCCTAAAGACGGCTGCCACAAAGCTGGGACAACCGAGGAACAACTAAGACTAGTGCTGGAGCGAAGTAGGTGAACAGTGATTGAAACTGGGGGAGAGAATTCCTTTTTGCCTTAAACTTAACCCCAGGGAACAATTTAAAACTATTTGCTCAGAACTAGTTGTTAAAGTGGCATTTAAGCATTCTGAGAAAATACCAGAACGGAAGGGGAAGACGCAAGAGACAGAAATAATGAATTTTGAAATAAACAGAAAATTGGACTCTTAAACTGGGAAAATGTGGTACTGGGAAGGCATTTTAAAATGCTGGAATCATTTACTTACAAAACTTATTCTGCTTTTATAATTAATTTATTTATTTATTTGTTGGTTCAATTAATATGCCGCCCTTCTCCGGAGACTCAGGGCGGCTTACAATGCGTTAAGCAATAACCTTCATACTTTTGTATATATCTGCTTTGTAGGGCTTTCGCGCGCCCCCCCCCCAAGCGGTGTTATTTTTTATACAAAGTCAGCTTATTGCCCCCACAATTCGGGTCCTCATTTTACCTATTTTACCTTCCATCCTTTTACCCCATTTTACCTTCCATCCTTCGAAAGGATGGAAGGCTGAGTCAACCTTGAGCCTGGTGAGATTTGAACCTGCAGTAATTGCAGGCAGCTGATGTTACTTAATAGCACATTAGTCTGCTGTGCCACCAGGCTCATATTTACAACTAAAATGACGATTGACTAGAGGCAATACTGAAATTTAAGTTGAGGAGCGCCACCTGCTGATGAAAGGAAAATTTACAAGTCTGGGAATACTTACATGAAGAACTGTGAAAATATTTACTGGATTATTCCTAACTACCCTATGACTACTTAAAGGGACCCCTGAATGTTATCCTAGAAGATTGAACCTGTAAAGGGGATGTAAAGAGCCATTGATAATCTGTGGGACTATTTAAATAGTACTGATTGTTTACCTAAGGGATATATACAGAACTGTGATTAGTGCACTCCTTGAAGAGCAATTTAAAGATTGAATAAACAGATCTTGGACGGCTGAACAAAAGTTGAATTTTTTGTTATATAACAGCGGCTAATGGGCATGGGAGAAAGTAAGGAAGAAAATTAAAGCAGTAATTTAAAGGGACAAAACCCAAAAAGAAAACTGACTTTTTGTATAAAAATATTTGGAGAACTTTAAAAAGCAGAAGAAATAGAACCCCACCAAACGGATGGAAAACTATGGGAAATACAGGGCAAAATAGAATTGTCCAGGATTTTAAAATACAAAATGATTTCACGGGGACTAACAATGCAGAAATAAGAAAAAGGGAAAAGAGATGGAAAA